CAAAATCTGTCTAAGGCAATCGACAACAATGACTTCCTCTTCTCCTTAGTGGGCTTACTGATGCTATATCTGTGTGGTACGGCAGAAGTAAATCCTGAACAGCGGCTGGCTTCAAAATTATTGTACAGGCCAGACACGCATTAATATGCTACAGTGCCATTGCTGGGTTAGATACGTGATACATTCCAAGTCGAAAACGATCGGTCAACACCCATCGCTTTATCCTCGGAGAATAGTTTGAAACATTTTATCCATCCATAAAGTATGCCTGCAGTTCTAATTCTGTTTAAATCAATTCGTCGTGATACCTTGAAATTTTGGTATATAGCAGGATTTCCACAATGCATTTCAAAGCATAGTAATCGTGTCAGCGGCTTTCCACTTTTATACCCCTTCGCCTAGTATTACGCTCGCATATTGGATCTTCCGTTCACCTTCCATCTTCCAGAACAAGTAGTTTGCAAAGGACCAAAGGACATGTTCTGTGCTTATTTGAAAGTCCTTCCTGTGCGGTCCATTGTTTCAGAAGTAAGCCATTTCCGTCACTTGACAGTACGTAGCAGAAATGAGCTGGCCATTTGCGGTTTTTTGCTATGGAATCTTAGCCAACCATCTGATGATCCCTGCTATACGCGCTGTTTATGTGCGTCCTTCAAGTGAGGCGGTGTTCGAAACCAATTGAAAATGGTTCTACACAGGTTTCTGCAAGAAGTCGTCCTCGGAATCGGTAGAGATTTTGGGCTAATGCCGTTTGGACTCCAGTAATTTCGGCACCGAGCTCATTTTTAAATTGCCTAAGTCACCAAACCCGCTGAAAACATATACACAAGTGTTATTTGACATCGTGATTACAATTATGGCACTCATTCTGGCGCTGGCGCCAAGAGATGCCACTACGATTACTTCCTGGGCTCAACCTTAGCCGAGCCCAGATAATCGTAGTGTCATCCATTAGCGTCAGCGGCAAGAGTGAATGTCATATCCATAATTAGAATGTCAATCTACCCCCATATACAGGTTTTTAGCGGATTTGGTGACTTGGGCAATTTAAAAATTAGTCGGTGCCGAAATTGCTGGAGTCCAAACGGCATTAGCCGAATTTCGAGTAGAAAAGTGTGTCCAGTAGAAGCGCTTCAGAGCAGGCATTTCATTACAATGCATGGTGCTTGTATACTTGGGGGAGGGGGCGTATCAAAGCAACTGGGCATGCTCTTCTTCTTAATAACAATTGCACCCCAAGAGCTCAGTTGGCATAGTGCAGAGGAGAGGTTTGAGCACGACTGTGTCTCACGGCGCGCCCCCTCGCACCCTTACTTTAGATCGAAGTTGAAAAAAAACTCCCTTGAAAAGTTCCTCTGCTGCTGATCAGCGAATGATGCGTGATTTTACACTGACTTCCGCACTTGTAGTTTCCAGATTGTGAAGGAGCCTTCTGAAATAACCATGCGGCCTGAGTTTTACTATGGTAGTGTTACATTCGCGCTCTAAAACTATCGCAATTGCTTTGAAAGAGGCTAATCAATTTCAGTCGAGCCCTTCTAACACTGCTACGGTGAGAGGACGCAGCGTCTATGCAGTAGGTAGGCGGAAACCTCAGGAACATTAATCATTGACCAGTCTCCAGCTTTGTAGTCCCACACGCACTTGGGAGCGGCGAAATGCTAACCTCTGCGGCTGGGAAGCTAATAACCTTTGATTATCTTATATGGCAAAAAGGTGCTCCTCTCAGATGATCAAGAAATGTATTTGACGGCAGTGGGTACGCTAATATTCGGAAATAAAAACGTTTCGTGGTCCAGCAGCGAAGAAAAGCGCTGAAAAAGAAAGGTCATTAACTGGGACGTTCACTTATGAGTGAAGGCGGGGTCGCAGCTTCGTATGCTAATGTTGAGTCGCTGTGAACAGGTCTTTACTTTAAACATCGTCACACGGTACTCTTCCACCATTACTACTCTGGAACTCAAAATTCCCGCTGAAACCTGCCTTTGCATGCCAAAATTGATGAAAACTTGTGCGCGGGAATTATATGACGTCGTGATCACGAATATCACTCTTGTTGTCAACGTCAGCACCATTGGCCCCAGTAGGTACCAATTTAACGCCATCACCTTTTTCAGCAGAATCGATGAAAACTTGTGCTTGCATGATGGGGCTGATTGATAAAGTGATTACGAAAATGGCATTCCTTTTTCGACAGCAGCGCACTTTAGCGCTTTTCTAATGCTGTGCCCGCCAGGATCAGCCTCAGCAGAGCGCAGACGACCAGAGTGCCCTAGATTGGCACGGTGATGACAATGAATGTCGTACTGGTGATCAGCATGTCAACTTAACCCCGTACACAAATTTTCATCGACTTTGATGGGTAAGGTAATGGCAATAACGTGGTGTCTGTTAGCGCCAATGACTCCAGCGTTGAAAAGAGCATGATATTAGAGATCAGGAGGTCAAATAACCCCGCCCGCCCCACCCAACTATACAACGTATACAACTTTTATCGGTTTGGTGAGATGGGTGATGGTGCCATATTGACGCGTATTGGCGCCAAGTGGCGCCAACTCCTAGAAATGAATATCATATTCGTAGTCAAGGCATTGAGTAACATCTGTGGACAAAGTTTCAGCAACAAGGTTTTTTAAAGTTTCTGGAGTAGTGATAGTGTAATAGTGCCTTTTACACTATTAAACGCCTTGTCAAATAACCGCACCCACTGCCTTCAGTTGCTGTTCTCTCCTTTGTTCACCATCTTGCTCTGCGCTAAATAAAATGTAATTGATCTGTTTCGCGGTGTGAGCTTCAGGATGGGGAGGGAGTAGCAAAGAAGAAACTTGAGCAAGATTCATCATTATTGTGGCATCATTATGTCTGCCATGACATATCAATATTCATTTTACAATCGGATTGTTAGGAGACCGTCATTCGGAACTTTGTTCCAGGGGCAGTTTCGAAGCGATCGTCACCACTTTTAGGGTTGGGAAGCGGGTGTAGGAGGCAGTTTAAGGGAGAAGTGTTAGGCACTGAAACCTTTATGAGAGGAGGTCATCAAGCGAAGTTTCAGATGACGAAAGCTAAGGGAGCGGAAATGTCGTATCCAATGCGCACTCTTTTTCAGACTCGTCGACCTCACCCCACTGGCATAATTTTCACCACCTTGCGCTTGAACAGTTGCTATTGATTACATAATATTGAAAGGCGAAATGCCCCCTCCCCCCAGCGCGTAACTTATTGTTCGACAGTTTTCATGACTTCCAGTCTTTGGTCTCTTTGCCTGCCTCTCTCTTTGCAGCTGATTCGAAAGATATAGAACTGTGTTGTCGTTCGCATAGCACGCTTCACACTGGTAGGTCTGGCACGGTTGAAAACGCCCGGAAAAACGTAACGTGGCTGCTCTGCAACTGCGCCCACTACACTTGTGGTTGCTACATAGTAGTTTTGATTTGTTCATTCCTTGTATTTTTCTAGGACGGAAAGATATCGACGAAACCGAGCAAAAGAAGTCTGAAGTAATGAGGCAGTTCACTAGACAACTGCAAGAACGAAATGAAATGGATCAAGCGGAATCTACAACCACATCCTTGTTGCCGTCGAAAGCAGGTATGTCTCTCATTTTTTAAAATGTCTTTTTGCATGTTTTGATATTCCTAAACTCAGAGTCGTCTCGTGAGACTACACCAGTCTCCATTCGGAATCCTCCTGAACAGTCAAAATCAGCAGAACCAGATGATGTGCCTGCAACGGTAGAGGCTCCACCCGCCGAGGAGCCAATACCCCAGGACACAACGATTGAGAGTGAACCACTGGCAACAGAGCCATCACCAGCTGAAAGTATACCAGAGCCGACAACAGGTGATGAAGAACCACAAAATGTTGAAGCAGATTCCGCACCTGCTCCACCTGCTCCTGATTCGTCTCCAAGTCCTGTTCCTGCTCCTGCTCCGGCTCCAGATCTTGATTCTGTCAAGCCGAACATTGAGGTAAGTGCCTCGCATGGATTTATTCCATTAATGGATTAAGGAGACACGGTTTATTCTGTGATACTATCGCGGGCGATGAGGAGGAGAGGTAGCATTTAAAGTGGCGGAGCGTTTGATAATACCCTTTAAACTCTTTTCAAGCTTGAAGTGACACGCTGTGTGTGTGGTGTGTATGTATGTGTTGTGTGTGTGTGTGTGTATCAGAAAGGGTGTGACAGGACAATCGTAATATGTATGTCGCACTGGTCGATAGACGCCGCGCACCCAAGAGACGCGTTGTCCTGCCCGGCCATTTGAAGTTGACTATCGATGGCGAACTTGGCGATTCCATATTGTGTGGGTTTTAAGAGCGACTATAGGTGAGAAATACAGTGACTATAGGTGTATTTACTCACCCATAGTCTCTAAGTCGCTCTTAAAAAGTACCGAGAACACCGTAAATAAGGACCTCTTCTGGCTACCTCCCTGCACGAGTTCTCTGGACCGTTCTCGTTTCATGCCTGCGGTATTCTCACCTACAGTGCTAATGCCATAACATCGAAGAAAAAAAAGCAAAAGAGACGGGTCAGTAACTGAACACTTGACAGGAAATACCCTTCAGTTCTGATGGGCTCGGCATGTACGGAGACGTCAGAACTGCTTCTTATAAGGACCGCAGCGCCTTTGTGACTCGTAGTGAAGCTCAAAAGTGGGACAGTTTCAAAGACTGATGCAGACTGCTTGAGCAAGTAAAGACGCGGTTTGGTTAAGCGCAATCTTCAGTGGAAGGGGAAAGATTGATATCACTCAACATGAGTCTAGCCAGCGCTTGTATATATTAGTAGCCCTGTTCCAATCGACAGTTCGATATCGACAATATTTGCCGCGCACAGCCGCACGATGCGCCGCGCGCGACGGCTCGACAAACTGCGGTCATCTTGCCCGTCTATTTCCGAAAACAACTGCAGTAGTTAAATTTAACTGCCCTTTAGGCACCTGAAGAAGGAACAGAATCCGGCGATGTCAACGCGGACACAGAAGCTCACACTTCCACGGCTCCAGAGGACTCAGCCATCGTTGAAGATCACGAAGAGAATACTAAGTCAGATGTGTACGTTTTTCTGTGTCTTATACTTTGCACAAATTTTGGCATACATAACCAAACGAAAACGTAAAGTCATGCTTTAATGACTACAGTAGGCATCATATCTTTTTTGTACTTGGGATTAGCGGTGCTTCCCACAAAGATCACTAACTCGGGAGAGTTTGGAGGTTGCGAAAAAGTGCAAAGAAGATAAACATTTGGCGATAGTCGAGCATATATGCGGTGTGTTGAGAGCAGCTCATAGTGGACGGGTGTGGCCTCAAGCATGAAAAACTCACGTAATAATTGTGGTTCAGTTACAGACCTCCATTCAGTTGTTCCCGCTACCCATGCTGCTCTGCAACCGATTCATTAATTTTTGACTTTCGCCTCGCCTACCTAGCAAAATACTTTGTCCGCTGTGGACATGTCTATTTCACTTGAGTAGTCGAGTTCCTGCATAACCTTGCTCACCTTTTGCCGGTGTCTGAAGTGTTTTGCTTTGGACGTTCTTAAGATTTTTGCGTTTGCCCACAACTTGTGTACCTCGTACTTCTCGAACGGTAACCGCTCGCTGACTTTAGTTCACTTTTTCGATGTCTGGAGTGTACGTTCTACGGATTTTTAAATCCGACTCCGCCCACCTCGCCGCACGCTCCGTCTATGGGGTGTGTCTTGCACAATCAGTCGGTAATCCACTTTTTCGGTGTTGTAATGCTCTGTAATCCAACTCCAGTTTTTCGAAGAGTGCCGTTGGCAATGCACGACAGATGTACTCGACTTCTGCCAAATGTTTATTATCTCCATAGGTTTCTTTTTTGCAATTTCCAAATTAACGGGGGCCAACTTAATTTTGTGAGAAGCACCTCGAGGGCGCCCCGCTCATTTCGTTTGTGTCTACACCGCTTGGTCTATCAACACTTTACTTACCCCACTTTTCCTCCTTCCTAGCCGCCGAAAAATTTATGGATTTTTTTAGTGACACCGCCAAGTTTCGGTGCATGCCTCGCCCACTGTGGGCGGAGCTAGCATGGATTGCGTGTGCTCGTTGAATCTTGACCCATGCCGTACCCATCCCAACTTTGACCCGACCTCTCCTAGTTGTTCTTCAGGTTGAACCGACCGACAAACAAATAAACAGATGCAGCAAATTTTGTATACAGGGGGGGGGCAAAAAAAACATATCCGAGTCACATATCGGCAAAGTTTCCGCAGCCCAGACAGAGGACGTGGGTACGAGTACCAGGGCGGAAGATACCCAAGATGTTCCTCTATAAGCAGGAGCTGGCGCTCGCCCATCACCTTCATGTACACCAAAATATGAAGTCATCTCCAGCCGCAACCTGACTGGAGATGACCTTCGGAATTCATGTCACCTCCGAACAGTTGCGAAACTTCTAGCATGCAGTCACCCATAAATAGCTACCTGGAGAGCAGTACTCTCGATCTGGGAAACCTCAGTCATCGAGCAGCTCCGTCAACGTCGACGGTCTAGGACGTCATCTTCACCTCAGTCGCCAAGGCGCCAGTTGATGGTGGGACCGGACGTACCTGCAATGAGGAGACCGATTTTTGTCCGTGGGCCCCGGACTAAAGGTGAGCGCTGGCGGTTACATTGGGCAACTTCGTGAAGAATATCCTTCTCACAGTCGCCCGTACCTTCTTGAGAACTGCTACAGCATTGAGTGCCACCACATGGAATGGATGGGCGTTGGAGAAACTCTTGCCTACTTGTAGTGGAAGGGCGTTGAGTACCTGAAGAAGGTGGAATATCTAAGCAGGTAACCTGACCTAAACCCCCTCAATTACCTGGCTCGGGCGGAGTTCAATAGGGTGGTCTACAGTGGCGGAGAAATCAACGATCTCGCTGAACTCAGGCACCCACTCACGGTCGCGTGGCAGAATCTCTCGATGGCGCTCCTCCAGAAGGCTGTGGCTGAGTATCGTAATAGTATTTGATATGCTCTTTAATATGGTGGTGAAAATATCTGATAAGAATTTAACAAGTGTAACTTACAATGCCTCGAAAGTCAAGGAGGAAAAAGTCTTTCTTTTATGGGCCCCCCTGTATAGTGGGTGGGTAAGCTATGGGTTGATTGGTGCTTTGACAGCGAGCACTAGACAAGTCACCAAAATTTTTTGTGAAGATATTTTCTTCCCGATCTGTATTGTAACCACTACAGGCGTGTGCAATTGTAGCCTAGGAAGACTTGAGTGCTCAGGTATCCTAGATGCACACCCAAGCGTTTTCACGCTAGGCAAGTGTGCTATGCCTATTCTGGAGGTCAAATTACCGACCTCTAGCCAAATTTGAGATTATGACCTACTCCCGAAAAGTCAGTCAAGGCTGAACGGCTAATGGCAACCTGCGTACCTGAAACGAGCCCACTGAAGATGACTGCCCTTCTCCCCCCCCCCCTCCCCCACCAAAGATGACTGGTCTTTGAATAGAGTTTGCTTCTAGTTATCAGAACATTGGAAACAGCGAAAATAAGGTGGCTTTAAGTGAAGGTGGTGAAAAATGAGAGCGCGTTTCACTTAAAGACAGCGCCCGCGATGGGCTTTGACAGGTTCAAGGGTCACATTTGCTAGAACAGGTGGCCAATGAAGCACTAATCAAAAAAAGCAGGAAAAAGGTGTGGAAGAGCGTGAAATAAGACCCTATGAAATTTAAGGCATGTGGACGAGTTTCGCAAACTTCTGGTGAGTTCTCCAATACACGTCGCCGCCTCGGAACTCTAGAAATTCAGCGTATATCAATGCCAGCAAGCATTGATAACTGTCAACCAGTCGGGGCGGGATTAAGAGGACAGGAGGCGTCAGCCCGGCTCTGTTGACTCCGCCCTCGTCAACCAATCGATTTCAAGTCGCAAGAGTGGGATTTCTGCTGTGATTGCGGACTCCGCGTTCGTTTTCAAGGGAGGGTTTCTCACTTTGGTTGATCGCGGACGCTGCCTTTAAGGTGTGCTATTAAAGCTGCAGAATTACATGCTCAGCAAGGAACTGATATCACCAATGCCTCTTTATCACTGCACCCAGTTGCCGTAAATCAGCTTCACCTTGCCTATCTGCATTTCTTCGTTTGTCTTTCTTGGCTCATGGGTAGCGACTGACATGACTGACTTATGGCAATGACTGAAATTTGCTTCTTGCAGCGACTGATAGCTCTTTTGGTGTTTTCGTCTGTGGCCAGCGTGAAACCTATGTACGGGAACACTTTAGTTGTGAGCAGAAGCCTTCCTAGATTAACCCATCAGCTGTCGTGGATATATCGCAGCGTCGGAAGCGGTTTCCCCCTCCGCCCTTTTTTTTGCTCGTTGTCGTGTAGTTTGTACGGGGAATGAACAGCAACAGGAAAATGGTCTACCATTTATAGATTGTCTTTTTTGTCCTCGGAATGGCAGTGTTACAGTAAGGATAGGACAGCTCAGTGACGATGACGAACGCTTTTGCTACTTGTTCGTGCTAAAATGCATTCCATTTTCATTGAAAATTAGCATCGTTCTGACGTTTCTGGTAGAAGTCTCGTCCGAGGTTCCTCGCTTGATCGACACTTGGAGCAGCTGACGATGCTTTTTTGTAGATAGGCACTCTTCCACGACGTCATAGAGAGCTACTTTTACAATTGCGAGTTACCTCTGATCTGTTAACCACACCTTTACGGAGTTGTCATATGGACCTCTGACTGCTGTTCTCTAGTTAAACAATACCATGCTTTTTTTCTTGTTTTCTCGCGCTGTGAGACAAAAATATCTTCTCTCATATACTAATTAGATAACTCTGTAAGGCCGCGTTTATACATAATGTAGGAATGCCGAACCGCGGAGTGTGCAGAACTGCGAAATTCGCAGACATGCGGAATTGGGAGAGAACTTGCAGAAGAAGAAAATGTGTCTATCGATTTCAAAAACCGCGGAATACGCAGACATGCAGGAATGCGGAATGTGCAGAAATGCCGAAATGCAGAAATTCCGCTGGTGAGGCTAAGCCATCACTCCCTATCATTTCATTGTCCGTCATTTCGGCATTTCTGCAAATTCCGCGGAATTGGGAGAAATGCGGAATTTGCATCTGCATTTCTCCCGATTCCGCACGACGGCAGGAACCAAGCGATCGATTCTTATCACTTCTTTGTCCGTTATTTCGGCATTTATGCAAATTCCGCGGAATTTGCAGAGAGTGGTTTTCATCGATGCTTATACATTTCCTGTCTGCAATTTCGTCATTTCTGCAACGTCGTCATGTATGAACGCGGACTAATGAAAGAGCCGTCTGTTTCAAAGAAAATTTCCTCAATCAAATGTTACGAGTAGTCGATGTTCAGTTATGAACCAGCAGTCGATAAGTGACTTCACATTAAAGAAAAAACAAAAAAGAACAAACATTGAAAACTTCTCGAACGAAGACCCCTCTCTAGCAATCGCACAGCCTCATTCTACAAGTTCTCCGGACTTGCTGGCGGCGTGACACCTTGCGGCCGGTGTGCACCGCTAGCTCATCGTTATCGTTTCTTCATCGTGCAGTTACTGTATGCCATCGAAAATCAAGGAAAAAAAACGCAACAACGAAACACTGGTAATAGTTTTTGAAACCTCTGTCCATGAAAATAGTAAAACGTAAAGCAGTGTAGGACGAACTTTTGCACCAAATTAATTGCATCGCTGCTGAATTGAAGCGACACCCAAACGAAGCTTGATTTGCGAAATGAACTGCTACTAAAGTATTGTTCCCAAAAACGTATCCAGCAAAAAGAGAACAACTCGTGAGCTCACAGAAGAATCGACGAATTAGAATTTTCTTTGACGAGGGTGAGAAATTGTCCTGCGACGCTACAGGCAACACATTGCAAACACGTAATTCGCGTGTAAGTCGTTGCCTTGCGCTGTGAAAAGAATCGAGGGCGCAGTAATCACGCGTCTGTGGCCTCTTCATCTCGCCGAAGAAAATCTTCGAGTGACAAAATTGTTCCGCTGTTTGCGAGTGTGGACTGAACAGCACGATTGCGGACCGAATGTCAAATGCGCGGAAACATATCGCGGTCAATTGATCGCGGATATTGCCTTTGAAAGAAACCTGCTGTACTGTATTCGCTTCAGCCCTATTAGCTGTATAAAAATGACGGAAACCCAATGAAATAAGGGTATTCCTTCGTGTTTTGTGAAAGGTTTATTGGGTGAAAAACATCGAATATGAGATAAGATTTTCCGTCCGATTTCACTATGACTCGCTTTCTTGCCTGAGAAGGGTGTTCGTTAAGAAATGGGATTTGATTAATGATTAACTTCTGCGATGATTTGTGATAGGAAAAGTGTTTGCAAGTGTCACTAGCGAATATTTATACCCGCTGCAGTACAGGCAAATAACCTTGACCACGGTGCGCGCCCTCCATTCGGCGAGCTTGAAGGAATGCGTAGAAACGAGTTTTTGGCGTCGTCGATATTGATTTAACACCGATGCATCTCCTTAGTGTAGTGACCAGTTGATGGATATTGCTGTTAGAGGCATCCTCCAAAGCTACAATAATGTGGCTTCTACGATACTTTCAAATGTTGGTCATTGATTGTTTGATTGTTTTTTTTATAGCTTGGGCAGTTTGTACGTTTTTTTTTCTGAATTACATTATACATGTTTTTAGTGCAACTGCTGAAACCATCACTGAATCTACAGCGGATCAGGGATCGGTTGCGGATATAGAGGCAGAAGACTCTTCGGCAGATGTTGTCGATACCCCAGATGCACCAACCCCAGACACAGAAGAAGAAGAAAGGCGTAAAGCTGAGGTGAATTAGCGTTTTCGTTAAAGTCCGAACAATTTTCATGACACATAAAATGGTCTATTATTCAGGAAGAAGAAGAGAGGAAGCGACAACGATTAGTTGAGCTTGAATCGTTGATGCAGTCGCTATCGATTAATCCACAGGAAGTTGATAGTGAAAATTTGATATATGGAAGGGCATTTCTCTACTGTGTCAGGGATATCGAGAAGGTTTGTAATTGTAAAAAAAATAGAGCTGTGTCTTAAACTATTTTACCGCTTGCCGTTTTTCAGGAGTTCAAGCGTTGTCCTTGTCCTTTGAGCCACGACAAAATAGTGAAGCTAGGAATTGACTTAAATTCTATGCCGAAAGGAAGTGATAATAAAAAGCAGCATAGTTTCATTCCACCATGGATGAATCAATCTCGACAGTCAAACAAACCATCGAATCGGCCGGTAAGCCCTCCAGTCGATTTTTTCCCCACGATAGAGTAAAAAACATTGTAGCGTATTTATGGTGAAATCGAGAGAGGGGATAATAATTAGAGAATTCCATTCCATCGACTTGCAACTGCAGCATATTTCACTGTTGTTCTGATATTTTCCGTGCCGATGATAGAAGGAAATAGTAGGCTGGCGGGAAAATCCTGTCCTATACTGTATTTTTTTAATCAGGCCTTTATACAGCAATGCTAAAGCGGGGTCCACTTTTTGAGCATCTTCTGGATGCCATTGCTTCGAAATGCAGGCCTGCTCGACACAAAGTTGAATATTACCGCGACTTTGACAGGAGCTGGAGTGGTGAAGCCTTTCTCAACCTCGTAACGGGTTAGTACAAATGGCAGGTTGGAAGGAGCAAGGTCCGGGCTAGACCGATGCAAAGGGAAAGCCATCCAGCCTTATTGCGCGACGTTTGGCTCGAGTTTTTTTTTAAACAGGGTGGGAAACACTTTCATGTTGAACGCGGACTATGCGGATAAATTTTTCCGCCTCATCGGCGATTCGCTTCAGATCGCGTAGCTGTTTCATGTGGGAAGTGAACGTGGAAGCAGCTTATTCCTTTAGCAGTTTCGCGTGCAGCAGCTCCTTCAAGCTGAGTTCTGATGGACATTTGAACCTCGCTCCTTCAAAGCCGAAGGCCCCCTTCAAAGCAGTGGCGTCATGTAAGCTTGAGCGATAATTGGGAAATTCTTCCTCATGCGGCCTCTTCATTTTGACCTCGGCAGATCGAGCCAGGGTGGTGAAAAGAGGAGTTTGAGGCCGGGGTTTGAGCGGTGCTGGCGGTACGGGGCGTCACTTTTGCCCATATCGCAAAAGAAAACCAGGAAATAAGTGAGTGGTGCTAGTAGCAAAAATAATACCTCGGGTTTTACTGCTCATTATATCGATTATACCTCTCCATTGTATGGGTATGAATTTTGAAATCGAAAAATGTGACAGAACTTTCCCGCCAACATAATACTTAACTACCACTGTTTCGAGTACAAATGGCTGGAGTGAATATTTCATTTACCAACTTCATACAGAAGTTATAATTACTGATTGTATTAAAATGCAAGCTGAGAAGATCAGACAACTATCATGAGATTCAATAATGTATCAAACAAGTACACACAAACAGAAATGTTTTCAGTATGGTGGACGATTTTCGCACAATGATCATCGCGGAGGCAAAGGAGGTGGCAACAAGAAATTCCCACCTTCGGCTAGACCGTCCATTGAGCGTAATATTGAACGAGGTGTACCTCTACACAAAGCTGAAAATGCGTGGAAACCAGAGAAGATCCGTCCCGAAGATCTTGAGAAGGAGGAAGCGCGAATTAAGGTTAGTATCGGTCTATATCGGTCTACTATTCTTGTAGGGTTTTGCATTTATCTGTGCTTTCAGCTTCTTTTGAAAAATGTCCGATCCTTGATGAACAAAATCACTCCTACGACTAAGGACGACCTCATCAAGGAATTCCTCAACTACAATGTATCCTCCACTCAAGAGCAATTAGCTTCGGTGAGTGACCCACTCGACAGTTTCTTTTTTGCGCAAGCAATTGGGTTTGATTTCCTCTCCCTGTGGTCCCCTTCTCCCGATGTGTTGTTCTAAATGTTCGTATGCCACGCGGCACGTGGTGAAGTGATTGCAAGTGGGTTCTAGTTGGGTTAAGGCAGTGGGTAAGTGGGTGAGTGTGTTTGTGTTGGGGTGAGGTGGTGTAGTGGCTAGTGAAAGGCTTACCATGCGCACAGTCCTGGTTTCAAAACCTATATCAGCTTCATCCCAGGACAGCCAAGCTTTCACCTATTAGCTGGCCAGTCCATAGAGAGCATTGCCTTCAGCAAGCCACTACGATTCAGAATGGAAGTAGAATGCGCGCCGCATCTTAAAGTGGGATATCAACGGGGAAGACTTCTCCTTCAAAGTGTTGTGTCAACCACAGCATAAAGATGGTAATATTATGACTGATACAGTACTAGTTTCAGTCATAATATTGATAGTTTCTTAGTTTCCTGAGTGTCGTTTGCTGCTGTCGTTTGACACATCCCTTCGTCCGCAGGGAACTAGACTATAGGCGGTCTCTCAGCCGTTGCTCGGTATATATTAGGTTGTCCGGAAAGTTCTCAGCGTTTTGGGTGTTTCACTTTAAACTATCGTAACTTTTTTAATACTCATCGGATTTAATCTAAGTAGGCACTATTCGAATCAGCACACTTTTGCCAATGTGACAGCAGTCGAGAAATCCCATCAAAGTAAAAAACTGGGTGGTCGAAAATTCACGAAATCCACGAAGGCTTTTTTGCCTGGTCCTGATTGATGAAGTATTTTCCAGCAAGGGAGTTCTGAAAATGTTAGAAAAGGTGATAGTCGATTGGCGAAAGGTCTGAAGAATATGGCGGTTGAGGTAGAACTTCAACCCCCAATTCGTTCAATTTATGGATAGTGATTTGTTAAACGTGTGGGCGGGCGTTGTCACGCAAAAGAATCGGACCCTTTCTTTTGATAAGTGTTGGCTAGCATCTGGCAAAATTTCCGGTACATTTCGTCGATTTCTTCACAGTAGGGTTCTGCTGTGATGGTTTGGCCTGGTGAATAAAAAGTTATAATGGATCACACCAGCCGATGACCACCAAGCCGTGACCAGAATCTTTTTTTGGAGGGTTCGGCTTTGAAAATTACCTCGGTGGTTCGTCGAAATCCAACCACTGTCCGGAACGTCTCCTGTTATCATACATGACCCATTTCATACAGGCGACAATTCGGCCCAAAAACAGGTCGTTTCTGCTGCCGCAAAAGTCAATGCAGAAGAACTCGAGACGTGCGATTCCTCGCGTCACTCCGATTGTGGGGCACCCAATTGTCGAGTTTTTTCAGCCTTCCCAATGCGCTTCCAGACCATCTGCCAACAGTGCGATTTGCCAACGCCTAGCTCTTCTGCTATCTCTCGAACTATTTGGACGGGTCAGCTACCCGAAATCCCCCTGAAATCCTCGTCAGATATTGCTTTAGGTCGACCGCTATGAGGTTCACCTTCAAGGCTAAAATCTCCAGAAACGAAATTTGTTGAGCCATTGCCGCACAGTGCTCTCTCTTAACACTATTGAGCCCCCACACATTGTTAATTTGTTGAGCTGTTTCGATTGCGGATTGCCCAAATTTATAGACGAAGAAAAAAATCGTCCGAAGTGCTCTTTTCACTGCTTCAAAAAGTCTTGAAAAAAAGGGGTTTGTCAAAGCAATGGTGAAACGGCAGTTATACCATCAGATAGCGACAAGAAATTCTCTACAGGTGTACGACTGAAGAAGCAAGCAGAATGAGTTTTTAATCAGCAGTGAATGTACAAAGAATAGGTGCACAAAACGCTCGAGAACTACTTCCGAACAAGCTCAATATGTTTAAGCCAACAAATACTCCTGGGTGTCGTATTTTATTGCTTAAACATATATACCGTGAGACGGCTGAGAGACCGCCTATAGTCTAGTTCCCTGCGGACGAAGGGCCGTGTGTCAGGCGAGGTTGAGTTTTGGCGCAGTGCCAAACCGTTCTTTAACACGTTCCGACCGCGTGACACACATGGTGTGTCATGCATCTGTCTCTATGGGTGTTTTATTTTGATCAATTTGGCTCTTCTTTCACGCTCCAGGAAAAAGAAACACACTCTAAGTTACGGAAGATACTTACCTATAATCGGTTTGAAAAAGGAAGGAACTTACGTTGCAATAACTTTATGAAAATGATAAAATGGATCCGGAGATGCGCGCAGTATCCGCAATGTGTTAAGCGAACAAGTGACAAGAGTGTATCACATCATGTCGTATCGCACAGTTTCTACTAGTTGTTGTCGCATACGCGCTTCAACGTGGCAGATAACTGGTTTGTTGCCGTGGCACCACTCTTAGTGCCTGGCAAGTCCCATCCGCAGCGAACAGATATATGTATTTCAGTGAAAGGATGATGTTCTAGTATCTCAGATTATATATGTATTATATTTTAAGGTGATTAATTATCATATTCGACAAAGCCGTTGAGGAGCCAAAAATTCTGCCCGATTTATGCCGAAGTGTGTAAACAGCAGGTGCGTCTGGCCAACATAATATTGTTTTGCTGTTAGGATGACATAATCGAAAACATATTATTGAAGGCGCTTTTATCACCCATCTTGTTGTGATGCTTTTTCAGTAGCAAGCGTGTATAGGTGGTTTATGTTCGCATAGCTATTTAGACATTCCAGAGAAGCGTGATAGTACACCGGGCGATTTCCGAAAAAAAAACTGGCATTGAGGTTGCCATTTCTTTGACAAAAGTTAATATCTAATCAGTAGCATATCTGTCAACCAGTGAAAAATATTAGAGTGTTTGAAATGAAATAAGGATAGTATTGGTTGGCCCATGGAACAAAAGGCGTTTTTTTTTCTTCCTCGAGATTTCGCGTTAGATAGCCTAGTCAGCTTCTTTGAAGGTTCTATTTCCAACAAATTTTATGTGCTCAAAAGTGATAAGTCGACAAAGTGAGCCTTTTAGACAGCATCTTTCTTTACATTTGATGAAAAATTTGGAAACCTCACAGGAACATTTTAAGTACACGTCCGAAAGGATATGCCTCTTTGGAAGGCACCGTTACCGTTAAAGCAATTGGAAGATTTCATTTCGGCCTCAGATGAGCATCGAACACAACGCCCTATAGGCCCGACCGAGAGCTTACTTGACACCATATTCACGGAGATTCATGACAAAGAATGGAAAGATGGTAGGGGTGGTGGAAGGCTTGCAAGTTCCCAGTGGCACCACCTCCACCATTGGCACCACCTTGATTGTAGAAGTTTAAAACTTAGTGGATGGTTGCTTGGCTTGAAAACATTGCTCCTTGTTCATACACATCACACTGTTTCTGAACTGTTAATTTAACTGTTTCTGAAGTTAAAGAACCTAGATTAAGAGAGGTAATGTCGAAAACTCTCATTTGTGTCGACCCGACGTTCCATTTTAATGAAATAGAAATTGACAAAAATCAAAATACATAAGGAAGGCAACGAGGCGATCTGGTAGCGCAGGACATTATCCTTGAATACCGTTCTCACTTTTCATACAAAAAAATGTGTAAGAAAAAACACCATAACTTGCGGGCCAACACAGTACGGTGCCACACTTGCTAGCCCATCTTCTGAATAGTAGTTGGGGTTACACCTTCAAGATCGAGGGATGAGCTCATTGAGTCGCTTACCTTATTTTCCAATGCTATAATTTTCCAAGGCTCTATACTCATTCCCCCCCCCTTCCCAAACATCTGCTTTTAATTATCCTGCCATATAATTAGTTATAGGCTTTTCGAAGGAATGTTTATTTTGAAAGGTTCAATCCTCAATATGTCTTTCTGTTGATTTCTTCTTTTGTTGCCTTTATATACGTTTATCATCTACAGTATACCAAAAAACCCGTCACTTAGTTTTTACTTTCTGGAAGAGAACCATTGTGTGAGTGATTGTGTCTCCAGTGAAGGCTCGGAAAGTCTGTGGAGCAGATGCAAGCCATATTCGTGCCGGTGTTACAGTCATACTCCGAGTGTCAAACCACCACCGGGGCTAAATTTTCAGTCAATTCGAGATTCTAACTATCAATCTATGACATAAAAACTGTGGTAACTAAGGACGTACCCGCAGACTCTGCTTTTCGTTTGGTCATCGCCTTCTGAACTCCGATGCCAGCGGCGCTTTCCGAAAGTTCTGTTCACAGGCGATTGATTGGCCTAGTCGCAAATGCGATTACATTGAATTCGGATTCATTTGGGCTCGAATAATTATACTAAGTCTTCTACCGAAGGAGGACCTGCGCTGAGTGACCTGTAAGTAAGTAAGTAAGTAAGCATGTAAGTTTTTGCGGATCTTTGTAAATAGCTGGTAGTCTCCGAGGGACCAGAAGCCGACTGAAGACAGCAGCAGAAGTAATCATAACTGGTCCCTCCAAATTAGTTTATTTCTTCAATTTGATTGTGCTATTCGAGTGTGCTTTGCAATCAAGAGTTGTATTCAAATTATTTTTGTTACTGTGAGACAAGAGAGTGAGTGTCGACTGGCAGTAACAGCTCATCGACGTTCTGGAAACTCTTTATAAATTCCACTAAAGCATAGGCTGAGAACTAATCCATTCATGTAGCGTAGTAATTTTGTTGAACTGTACAATATGCATATAGAGATTTCAATACTTCAGTAATTTTCACACACGAGGTGTGTAGATGTGATGTGAACTTGTTTTAGGTGGACAAGGAACTTAAAGAGCACTCGAAACTCTCTCTTTGCCGAAATGCTCTTCTGAATCGGGCGCAGGAAACGTTCGTAAACAAGACATGGGAGGAAGAACGTAATGTAAAGGTAGGTTTTCATTTTCTTCTCTGAACTGCAAGAACCCTACGTTTTTTCAACTTGTTTCATTCACAGGTGAAAGCAATAGAGGATGAGGAGGACCCCAAGAAGAAGCTGCAGTTGGAGCTTGAATTGCAAGAAGCAGACAATAAGTTCCGTCGCCGAAAGTTTGGAAATATAACGTAGGTTCAGATATTTTATGATTCCCTTTCCTTAAATAGGTTGCTTATCAATACGTTCTTGTGCGGTAGCTTGTGCTGTTTTCTTTTAAGCATACCCTATTCTAAGCGCACATTCCGCTATTACAATTCGTGGGCGGGGGGGGGGTGCAATTTTAATTCCTAAATTCGTACTGAATTACCAGGGAAGAAAGCAATGGTGAAACCGTTTGAGCCGTTCCAAATAAGGTCCCAGACAAGTGTTCCCGAAGCGAGACAACGCTGAGTGAGCGACAGAAAAGAGACAACGGAAAAGAGAAGAAGAAGGCGAACAGGAAGATGGGGAGGTCATAGTTGGCCACCTCGGAAGGGACGCATCACATCCGTGTTTATAACATTACCTCGGCTAGCTGTACTAGCAAGAGATTCTAGTCGTCATGTCTTCAGAGGCAGACGTACTGAAGGGTGGTGATATCGGGGTACTATCCGATCCCACTCGCGCAATGGCTCAAGCTGCAGCTTTTGCACTAAGGAAATTCCGCAGCGAACTCATAGTCAGGGGTAGAGAACAGCCAGAAAAGAGGGCGCAGACAAGTAGCACGTTTGGCTCATGATTGGCAGTGCGGCAGAGCGGGTGCTGTCGCGAATGGCACCCGGGTATCGCAACTCTCCAGCCCCGCACCCTTCTACTTTTAAACAAGAAATCAGTAGGCTACAGCAGCTGCGAACCTATTCACCTTGCACTTGGCAGGGACCAAGATTTTTGGGGTTTGTGTAGAGCGTGTTTTCGACTGTGTGACTTTTCAGCTTCATTGGACAATTGTACCGGCAATCATTGCTGTCGACAAAAATCGTGCAATGGTGTTTGTTCGACCTTATCAAGCATACTCATCGAAATCCTGAGACTGGAAAGCTCCCCGAGCCGCCATTTGACGAGGTACGCTTGAATACCTTACGCAGTGATCGTTTTGTTTACTTCGGGAAACATGAGGTACAGTGAGCGTGTAATTGTTTGTGTATAATAACTTATTAAGGAGTCTTTGCAATGTGCCATTCAACTGATAGAAAGTTTGGGTAAACAGTTGGATGTGTCCTCTCCGGACTTCAATGGAAAAGAATATCTTGATCAAACTTTACATCACCTGGAGACCATATCAAGCATGACAAGTAACAAGATAAGGTACATAAATCGAGTGATCCACAAGGAAATCTTTGGTGTTTCTCTAACGAATATATTTGCAGATTCATGATAATGAATGTGATCGAACTCCGACAGAGCCGATGGATCCCACGGAAAGGAACCGATCAAGGTCCGAAGAAATTGGCTGAAATTCACAACGAAATTAAGCGCGAACAGATGGAGAATCAAATTCAGAGAGATCAGGTAGCACTGTCATAGAAATTGCTCCGTCATATTTCCCTTTTTTCATTATAAAGATGTAAAGTTATTTCTCATTACTCATTTCCATAATTAATGAGTAATGAGTTATTTCTCATTACTCATTAATTATTAACTCATTTTCAGTACGACCGCAAACTACGAACAGGTGGTAGCACGTCACAGCATGGCCGTAACCCGCCGCCACCACGAAATTCTCTTGATAACCGATTTGGCAGCGGTCCTAAAGGTGGCGACAGACGATCCATTGCTGCATCGAAAGCAAAACAGACACCGTCCAGTGTACAGCCCAAGAGCGTTAGCTTGTTGCTGAAGGTCAGATTTAACGTTTTTTTTTCTTTGTAGTCACGGACCCATCAACCATTTTTAGGGAGACAACTCTCTCGGAGGTTCAAACAGAAAAACGTGGCACCAAGGATCTGGAGGTGGTGGAAACAACGCAACCACTGAAGCAGCCAAGGCCGGTTGGCAAAAACCAGGACGTGACGAGATTCCTCGAAAGGTGAGTGCTGTGTGCGGTAGTTGAATAATGTAGTGTACTCAAGACCTAATTGCCCTTTCTGCATCGCCATAGTTTCGGAAATTCCTTTTCTTCATTCGATCTAATATTTTCTTAGAATTCCTCCGTTGACGAGCGAGCGGCATCGTTTGCTGCTACGAAGTCGGGCAGTATAGGCAAACCCGAAACAACACCGGTAAGATCACTGTTTTGTAAGTCCCATAGGACTCAGAACTATGGGTGGATGTCCTTCGGTTCTGAGCACTGCATTTGCTGGGCGCCGACCGGCGACAGAAAGGGGGGGGGACATTCTGCATTTCTTTGCTTCACTAGTTCCGGTTCACAAGCCTTACTCTGACGGAATCTGTGAACTCCTAAGAAGCTGGAGTAAACTTGCCAAGTCACCGTAGGATAACTCTTGCAAGCCCAGGAATAGCTCTGTGGATGGGTCGACACGTCGACGGGAAGTAGCAGAAGTGCGAAACTCCTCTTCTCCCCCCCCCCCGTCTCGTCGCCAAACATCCCCTACTTGTTGTATTCCATACATGCTATTTCTTTTTCTCGTGGCCTTTTTTCCATAGATTGTATGCTTTTGAAATCATTTTACACATAGGAACCTGATTTGGAAGAGATGAAAGCTATGCGTGAGGATTTGTATAAGAAGATTGGTAAGGAGATAGCTGGTCTTCTTGAGACTTACGACGAAGGTGACATGAAACTGGAAGAGGTTTGATTTATAAATTCATTGAACTTTTTGCCAATGTTCCTCCCCGAAAAATACTTACGAGAATCTTTCCAGTGTGTAAGCGATATATTTAAAATGGTCGATGCTGAGGCATACGGACGTCCAAGTGTGAATGAAGTGTTTTCACGGTTCACGGAATACGCTGTAGAAAAGGTATGTTAACGCAATGTCTTAAGGGATTATATTGAAATGGAACGTGCTGGATTTTAGGTTCGCAAACCTCTGCTCCCGAAACTTGGACATATGCTTTGTTTAGCACTCCAGAACCCAGACACGAAAGCGGAAGCTCTGGCTGGGTCAGTTCACATTCTCATTAATCTGTTTTGAACTAAACGAGGTTTTCTAGAATGGCGAAGTATTGCTCACTGGCGGTTGAATGTGAGATGTGGATGGACATACCAGATATTTGGAGCAAGCTGGCCGAGGTTATTTTTGATTCAATTTCGCTTTCCGCGGAATATTCGACACAACACGTTCTGTTTTTGTTTTCAGTTATTGGTGAATGCTGTCTACAGCGACCAAAATTTAATACCTGGACCGCGGCCGTCTTTCAAGGACTTCACCAATGTGTTTATAGAAGCAGCCAAAGATGAGCGTAAACCGTATGAGTTGTTAGTCCTGTCGCTCAAACGCATGGTGAGTATTGTATTCTTGCTGTTATAGAGTAATTAATAAATTGATTTAGTACTTTTGACTTAATTTCTGTGGGGGAGGAGCCACAGTAGTGCCTAGGAGTATGCATATTCAGCAGTAGTTGTTGTTTGAATTCCAAGTTGTACGTAAATGTACCATTTTCATTTCAAGTCCGACCCTTTCAATCCAAAACGTACGCTTTTCAAACAAAATTGCTTGCACTGTATACTTTGGTGTGGCACTTGGGTAATTAGACCACACTAAGTACTGCTGAAAGGACGCCCCTGCCCACTTTTCAGCGCAGTCATAGTTTTTTCCAAACTCGTTTTCTGGATTCTTTTTCTGTGACTTTTTTGCATTTTTTTTTCTGTTTCGCCCATATGTACTAGTCGAGAAGAATTGACAACACAAGCCATCACAAGAATGCTGTGTTCAAAGTGATAACAACACATCTACTACTCCGGCCCCCTTTTCAAGGAGACTATTGCGAACTTCGAATTCCTGTGACTTTTTTCACGTCGTCCTTTTTTTCGTCCATTCTCACAGTACGAATGTTTTTGTGGAAGTTTAACTTAGTTCTTGAAATTTTCTACCTTTTTGGAAGCCCCGCCCCACTTCACAAAAGTTCCTACCCACTTGAGAAAAATGATTAGAACAGGCGGGCCAGAATCTCAGTTAGGAGGCCAGAGTCTTCTGCCGTCCGAGCCAGAGTCTTCTGTAGTCCGAAGCAAAGAACCATGCAAGTTTGTTCTGAGTGACAGACCAACATGCCAGATGAGTGTCTAACCTGTTGATCTGGATCACTAAAGGGGCGTGCTTCTATGAGGTGGGTGAGCGGAATAAAAACTGGGGATTCGCCATAATCTCCTTAAAAAATGGGCGGAGTTGTTTCTGTGCCGTTATCAATACTTCTCGGTTAGTATGTGTGATGTATGAACAGTAAAAACGCAAATGTCACGGAACCAGAATCCATATAAGGAACTGGTAAGAACCATGACCGCGCTGAAAAGTGGGCGGGTAGTTGGGGCGAGGCTTGTAGCTGTTCCAGCTTCTAGCAATAGAACAAAGTTCTGGCAGTATGGTCTCCTGCGGTTCTTAGGGTCAGTTCGAGCTTTGTATTACTAGAAATGGAAGAAAAACATAGTAGAACGATGATCAGTGCAAATGTTTTCAACTGTTTTCCTTGTGCAAGCACAACGTTTTCAGGCGGAGATGAACGCGAAAGTAGATTCTCAAGATCACGCCACGATGTCTTCGTTTGTTTATTCCGCAGAATTACCATTCCTTCAAGAAATTGACCGAGAGCGATTGGAAAATGCATTGCGGGCGTGCCGACCCGATGTGCCTGGATTTGATGACTTATACGCGGTTTTACATCATCATTAATTAATATGAATTATTTAATTTCTCAAATAGTATTATCCAGAAACGTTTTCCTCCTCAATTTTAAGCTGGTTATGCATGTATCCGCCGCAGCGGCACCATTGTGATTGAAGACGGGTATCATTCATTCATGTTTGTATTGTCATTTTACCCGTTGGACTTCCCCTTGTTGCCCGCTGGCTGCTCTTCGTGCGCATGCGATTTTCGCTCAGATTTTTTCGGTCCCGTAATATGAGGTCGTATCATGGCGTTTTCATATCTACTATCATATTTATAAAATTATATGGTTTAAAGACTAATACTGTTTGTTTGCCAAAATTGTACTTCTTAAATGACTATTGGTTCGCCTAACGGCAGGTGTTTCGCTAGTCAAATCTTTCTTAGCCCGTCGCGGTCGTTTATCGCATTGAGTCACATACATTCGTCTTCAAAAATTTGCTCCCCTATGACGTTTCACTTTCATCACTCATCGTTCTTCCGCAATCGAAAATTCACACATATTTTTCATAGAACCGCTTCATCGTTGTTGCTAATTGCTGTTGGGGTATCTATATATCTGACGCTATCGTGCGTGTATAGCAGATGCTCGTTTATGCGTTTTTCGCTTCATTTAGAGAATCTAGAGTTCTATACAATTTATTATCATTATAATTAAACACATTATTCGTTTCGTTTTGTTGTTTGAATTCCTGTGCTTCTGCTGCTTTTTGTGTTTGGCCTCCTCATTTTGTCCGGTTTGTGGTCGGAATGCATCTTCGTATGGCACGGGATGTCGAAGAGCAGAAGACCCATCGATCAGTTGGGTAGCATAGTAATGGAATCGATCTGTGTAGCCTATATATGTTCCGACTTCTACTCGTTACGATCAATCTTCGAAGAAATATGCTCTGTTGTTGTTGACTAGGTATGCAATTGTTTCATCATACATCATCCTGTAGCTCTTACATATTGAGTGTGGTAATTCTCGATGGGTCCTTTCTCCTGTTTTCATTATTATTATCTATTCATCGATTAATTATCTAATTAATAGATGACTGTTTTATTCATGTTTTTCCTAGAGATGCCTCGTGTTGACGTTGACGGGTTGGCGGTAACCGTCAACGTCTGCCGCCTTATTACTATTCACAAATCTTGTCCAGTGATGATGGTGTATCACCTTGAAGTTCAGATGACATGACAAGTTCGATACCGTCATCACTGACGTTTTGTTACGAGACAGTTGCGAATGTTAACATCCGACGCGTTTTCATTTACTAACAAATACTGTTTTGTCGTTAGTATAGAAGCGATATAAAAAATTCGGCACATTTTCCTGGCTACAACAATGGAGATCGTTCTCATAATGAAAGGGTGGCGGTAAGGAAGGCGAAATATACTGCAAACGTTTTGAATTCTATATTGAAAGCGCGCTAGATTCTGCTCTCATACATATCTGTAGCTGTGACGGTAGGTCCACGCGGCGTCGCGCGCGAGAATTGCAAATTCTGCATGGTCACCTATCAGCGCGCACTCGCGATGGCTTTGTTATCGCGAAGTCACATTTCGCGGCTATTTTTAGGACAGTTCATCGTATCTAAGTACGGTCTCTGAGAGTGTGCTGTCAAATGATCAGGGACCAGCTAGTTGAATAGCCAAGTTATCTCGCGAGCAAAAACTGCGGCTTTCGCTGCACTATAGTTGCTAAGTAATCACTCTGATTATGCAAATAAAACAAACCCTAATGGTAATGATAATCCAGGTCATGCCAGAGTGAATAGCGTGGCTGGAAACATAAGCGAACACAATGTAATTCCACAAATGAGTTTATCGCGACGTCGCGTTGTTCTAAAGATGAGCAGCAATCGCAGGACAATATTCACCGGGTATGTGGCAGGAGAATCGTAATTGGTTGCGCCAGTGGGCGTCGCGTGCGATGTGACGACGATTGATGACGAAGTTTCGGTGGTATTGGTCGAGAATGAATGTGTGATCAAAAGTAGAAATGAGTGTCCACCATGTCCTTGTCTAATGTCTCCAGTCGAAAGAGTAAAGTTGAGGGAACGTCGCGCTCATTGCCGCACGCCACGATGCGGCAATCTTCGATTCTCCTGCCCTTCTCATCAATCCACCCAGTGTCGCAGTGCTGTGGCTTTCTCAGTGTCAGTCTGCAACGATAACAAGCTAGAAAAGCGTGCGATGGTGCGGCTCGGAAGTAACGCTGTATTCAGGAGGTGAGAGGAAGGGATGCACCACCGTGGCGTGACTCTTATCAACTACTGACGAGCCGGCGGTCACTGGTGTTTATCAGCAATCGCTGCCATGGAAGGAGTAGGCTGGAAAGCGGTTACAGCACAACAGAGGGGCTTCTGAGTATAAACGCTGTTCTACGTTCTCGTTGTTATCTCAAATTGTCCGGCAACGAATCTGCCCGTTCTCAGATAGAATTGTGCGCGAGGAGCGACCACTTATTAATGAAGCGTTCGTCGCGCCTTCATTTGAATAGTTTTGTAGTGGTACTGACTAACAGTCCTCACCATCTTTTCGCGTTAGCATCTCAGGAAGATTTCCCTCATATTTCTAGGTTGTCCACTATACTGCTGTTCTTTTGGATTGGATCTTCAAAATTTAAGCACTAGGGGCTTGGGGGTGGGGGAAGGGGGGCACTCATACTCGGGCACGGTTCACCAAACAATGATAAATTTGATTCTTTGTCTAGCGCGCCATCAGCGTCAGTGTTTTGAAATCGATCGGGGTAACCTCGAGCACATCCCGATAAATCATTTATGGCATAGCTGTGATGCTGTATAGAGTTATTTCACTAACCTTTTCATAAGAGACGTAATTTCCTCATCTCAGATAGAGTCTACAGTTCCAGGGTTGTAGCTGCTACGGCTCCGAATCCCCCTGCCCTTCCGACATCGGTAGAGTGAGAACGATCGACTACGATCAACTCAAAGGAAATGTTACCCCACCAAAATAACCCCGGTACTTTTCAACTATTGCTACCCAACTCAACTACTAATCAACTTGAAAAAAATTTCGCTGGAACTTGGCTCATACGGGTTATTCGATGCCCAGATCACGAATGTTATGATGCCGAGTCCCATTCGGCGACGTTAGAGCCAATTTGACGCCAACACTTTCCCCACCGAAACTAAACCTGCGTGTGGGGTTGTTTGGCGCTCTGATCACGAATATGGCTTCAGTTTTCGATATAAAGTTCTGCTGAGCCTGGGGGAGGGAGTGATTCCTACTGGGCCAGTCTTATCAAAGCGCAGATAATTAGTGTCCTCCATTAGCGTCGGCACCAAGATGAATGTCAAGTCAAAATCAGGATGTCAAATTACCCCATAACCCCCGTATATTCATCGATTTTGCTGATCGGGTATGTTTGGGTGCCGAGCATTTCCAGGCGAAGCAGATGCTATACTCGTGTTCAGGAGATCGAACTACCCCTGGAAACAAATTTTCAGCCGAATCCGCCATCGCAGAAAGAAGTTAATAAAAGACTAGCCTGATTCCGGAAGATTGGCGTGGTAATAGTTGAATATTGCCAAAACCTCTTTCCCTCCCTGGCAACCAAATACAACCTCCCCTCGCCCTCCTACGTGCGTTGTGGATGCCCGGGCTCTTATTGATTCGTTTGTGCTGTCCTGTGAAAGACCTTGCCCGACATAATTTCGATAAGATAGGGTACGTAAGGAGATTGCAATCAGTGCGAAATGGTCATTTGTTTGCTCTGGGTTGCTGTCTCTTTTCCGTTGCGTTTTTTCTTACCAAGAGAGTCGTTCAGTATGTGGAACATCGTGCCTATGGAAGTTTTTTTATGTGCTGCGTGGGTAGAGCCATTGGGGTGAGGTCCAAGCTTCCTGAGACTCTACGCCGTGCACTGCTGTGGAGAGGGAATTTTGATTAAAGCATATCTTCTATGTATTAATGACTTGCAGTGCTATGTTCTTCATGTTCCTCAAAATATTTTTCGCCTAAGGCAGCGTTCAGACTTTGCGAACGCGCGTCGAGGCGCTGTAACGTGCTTCACCTGCAAGAGCTGAACCACTCCTATAGACGCGAACGCAGTCGTAAGCGGGCGTCGATCGGTGCCGGTCGTCCATCGAGAGTGTGTGGGGGGAAAGCGGTGGTATGTGTTCCCTAATCGCGAACGCAACCGCTGAAATCGATCGGCGCGCAGTTTGGCGCGCCGACCCATTCCTGCAACTGCGTTCGCGTCCATTGGAATTGAGCGCTGGTGCAATAGTAACGCGACAGGGCGTCGACGCGCGTCATCGCGAAGTCTAAACGCTGCCTAGGGAGAGGAGCAATTTGCATTCTCACTTTTTACTTTTGTTAGTTCGTGTTAATTAACAGCTCTCACTTTTGTGACACTTTTAAATCCTTGTGGAACTACGACATGGTGAAAGTGAGTCATTTTCGTCGCATTAATTCACAAGCCTTCACAAGGTACCCTGTAACTTCCCTGAGTAACATCTTCTGCCCACATCAAGGAACTGCACCGGTTTTTGTTTACTCATATAGAAAAGAAGTCGCAAATTGCAGGAAGGCAAAACCTTTCATCATAAGGATCGGGACCATAAATCCAGCGCGCCGCAAAAATGAACCTCACTTCTGTAGTTTACCTATGTGTACCCCTACATCCTGGACGCTCCATGACCTGAACCTACTCCCTTTCAAGGGCAAGTACAATATAGAATGCAAACTCCCCCTTTGGTTTTAGCCCCTTCCATCCCACCATTTCAGTTTTTTGTTTCATTCATTCGCTTTCTCAACTGACTTCTTTATGATCGTTCTTTGCTGACATGCATAGAGCCACTCGCGAAAAAAGACCTTATTTCTCTTATCAAGCACATCATCTCTATCTTTACACGTGTCCCCATCACGAGCCAAAAACCAGTTTGAAGTCTTTTCACATCACAAACAATGTGTCAGGACAGGGAAAAAATGGCGCTCCTGCCTTTGTTTTTTATCATCATACTACTGATGGCGCTATGCCCAAAGAGTCTCATCTGATACGTACGAGCGTTATTCACTTTTTATTAATTATCCCTATGGGTCACGATTGCCAATCATATTATGAGACGAAGTGAGTCGTAAATTCTTGAATTTTGCTGGGATACCAGAACAATATACTTACTGGTGCTACCGTAGTTGAGTGAGGCAACGCGGCAGCGGATCTACGCTCCTTTCCCCACCAGGTTTTAGGCTTTGAGTGTAAACGGCCAAAGTCGCCATGTCCTACTGTCGCAGAGCAGACAGTCTCTATGCACTCGGACCGTCTGCGCCCTAATCCAAAGACAATTCTCGCGATCAAGTTTTGCGGGTAGTAGGTACTCAATAATGAACCAGCAGCCCACAAGTAACTCCCCACTGAAGAAAGAAGCGAAAAAAAACCTTGGGAACACTTTGAACGGAATCCCCCTTAGCAGTGTGCGCCTTGGATGGGTTTGCCGGACATCGGCGATCTTAATCAGCAGGATTCGACGTGCAACCATTTCCCGGCTAGAGCACGAGAAATTTCCTACGACGCTACAGCCAGCGGTACTTTTAAGCCGTTGCCTTGTAAAGTGGAAGTGATCGTGGTTGCATTAACCTCGCGTCTCTGGCTTCTTTATTTCGAGTGACCGAAGTGCTATATTCTCTGCGACTGCGGACAACGATGCCAAAGGCACAGAGGCTAATGCGGATCACTTGATCGCGGAAACTGTCTTTAAGCCAGAGTCATGAGGAGGGGGGAGCGGGATTAGGCGCAGGGACGCTGCCGCGTGGCAGCGCTCAGCTACATTAGATTGTGTACACACTCTGCGACTCGACTTTTGAGAGGATCAGCGTTTAGAGCGCTTCGGTGTTTCGGTCGAAAAGAATAGTATAGGTATCGATCGGTGCCGGTCGCTAGCGCTGCTCTTCAGAGTGGGGGAGGAGCGTTTCGAGCGCCGTACGATACCCATTATCCTTTCTACTTGAACCCAACCCTCCTAAATGCTGCGTCGCGAAGTATGGGTGGCTGCCTTCAGTTGTCGCGCAACCTCGTTATTCGTGCATTTTTCCACACTTTGCGCAATCTCAATTCGTGGCTTCCTCAAAATTGCGAAGTATGAACGCGGCCGTATCAGCAGTAGCTCAGAGTGGCGCCATACTCCGCAACTTCGTCGTTCTGATCGCGCCGGTGATTCGACCTATGCGATTGCGATTGGATCGAAAGCAATCTAGTCTTGCAGTCAGAGCGATAACGCTAAACTGGTTGGGACTTTGGCGAGCACCACGCGCTAACTTCGAACGCAGTCTAATCGCCAAAAACGTCCTTCGGGCTGCGTTCTTACATTGCGTCAGCTTACCCCAGCGCTTTGAGCGTTTCGAGCGTTCGCCAGCGCTAGCGACTAGGAAATTATGGCAGCGGTTCAGCTACAGGTACCTATCAAGCGTACGCCAGCGTATAGCAGCGCCCAGGAGTGGACAGTATAAGGAAGTAGGAGGGTACCAGACTGCTGGATCAGGCGTCGAGGAAGATCAAAACTGCTCGCGAAAACTTCATAACGCTGGCGTGCGCTCGAAACGCTCAAAACGCTGACAAAGTATGAACGCAGCCTTACGTCGATTACTTTCACGTCGGCGACGTGATCGTTAGGCCGCGTTCATAGCTTGCGACCATGAAGAAAGTGAAGAAGTGCCGAAAGTGCGGAAGTGCGGAATCTGCAGAAATGCCGAATGTGAAGAAAAGCAATAGATATGTATCGATTTGAAGAAATCGCGGAAAGTGCGGAAGGTGCGGAAAGTGCGGAATCTGCAGAAAGTGCGGAATCGATACGTATCTATTGCTTTTCTTCACATTCGGCATTTCTGCAGATTCCGCACTTTCTGCAAATTCCCCACTTTCCTTCACCACCTCCTTTCCGCATTTCTTTCAAATCGATAATATCTATTGCTTGTTCATTTCAACAATTCAGCTTTCTTCAGATTTCGCACTCTTCAGAGCATTTCTTCACTATTCTTCAATATCGATACGTGTCTATTGCTTTTCATTCACTTTCAGCACTTTCGCGCACTTCTTCACTTTCTCATTGGTTCGCAAGCTTTGATTGAACGGGCTTAGCCTTGCCGTTCATACCGGTGCGACGTCGTCGTCAACGTCGACGTAACCGACGTAACCAGCGTTTTCTGTGACTACTTCACGAAGAGGAAATGCGTATTGATCCGACGAAACCGACGAAGGCTGCGTAACCAACGAAAGCTGCGCAACCGACGTTTTGCGACGACTAGAGACCAGATACGTATCGGTCCGTGTGTCGACGTAATCTACATAACCGACGACAGAAGATTAGATACGTATCAACTGCCGTCGACATGGTCGGTTTCCGCAGCTTTCGTCGGTTTTGTCCGTTACATCGGATCGATACGTATATAATCTTTGCGAACTAGTCGCCGAAAACGTCGGTTACGTCGACGTTGACGACGGCGTCGCACAGTATGAACGCAGCCTTAGGTGGAAGCGGCCTGAGACAAAAAATGCACAATAGCCCTTCGACCGTCTTCTGACAGCTGAGGAATTGCTTGAGGTGACGCTACGGCCACGTGGCTGCGTTTCAGATGATCGTAGCCAAGCTGACCTCGTGGTGTAATTGCTCGATATTCTCTTTTGATGATGAACTATGCTTATCAAGTGGGTTAGCTATGCAGTTTTTCTGAGTCACAGCGCTTCACAATGTCACAATGATGCAGCAAAACAATGGGATGTGTCCATGAAGATGCACTTTGTCTTTTCGATCAAAACTCCACAGTCTGAGCGTGACTTTCATCCACATAAAATGGTTTTAACGAGAGTAGAATCATTCTGTGTGGACTAGCGACTAGGGCAGGCTTTGTTTAAACTAACAAGTGCTGAAATCGATTCCTCGTATTGTTATCTTTTTGTTATCTCCTTTCCTTTCCACTTTGAATGGTTCTTTTCATTATCTCACGTTTCGAAGAAAGGTTTTGTGCAGAACCTCAATCCGCACGCACGCCCGTCGTGCACCAAGACCGCGTGTATCGTTGAAATCGGTCATGAACCTTTCAGACTCGTCAAGTATTTATAGCGATTGGTAAACTACGTAATTCCTCAAAAATGCCTATCAAAGTCGGGATCATGGGTGGATCCGGATTGGAAGATCCCCAAATTTTACACAATGCAAAAGAGGTGGAGATAAATACTCCATACGGAGCGCCTAGCGACAAGTACATCGTAGGTGAGCAATTTTTTGACTACTTCCACGTGTCAGATGAATGTTCGCTTTTAAGTCCCTATCGGACGTACATAGTTCAATTTCGGGCACAACTGTTTCTTGACAGCGGTGTTTTTAGTTGCATAGGACGACAAGCGTTTTGTTTCCAACGATTCGGGTGTTCAGAACACAGAGCGCGTTCATACTTCGCGATTCGATCGCTGCCCTCGCGCGATCAAATCGCTGAGCCACGATCGTTGGGTTGGGCCGTGCTCATGTACTGGCTGTTAAATTTTGCTGCTACGACGGTTCATTCTGTGCTATCGCTAACTAGTTTTCTGGAGACCTTTGCTACTAACGCAGTAGAAGGGGAGATCAGGAGTGTCGACTGAATTCTCTCTTTTCTGCGAGAGTTTGGACGGAAAGGCGCGTCGTCCTCGTCGTTAGTCGTGGACTGAGCGTTCGAAGAGAGGGAAAAGAAAAAAGCGCAGTGATGGGGCTCATACAAGGGTATGCAGACACCAAGACAAAAGCAAAGCCACCTGAGTTTGCGGTAATCGAATGCCCTGGGATGGGAAGCGAGCAAGAGCGGTATGGGTACGCAACAGAGTCACGCCACGCACATTTCCTACTGGTTTGTACTTTGCTGCCGAGATGTTGTTCGGTTGTAGTTGACTGGGGCGAAAAAGACGAGCACCGAATGAGCTTGGTCAGTTTCGCTCACTGAGTGCTGCTCCCGTGTAGGCTAGCAGTAGTGGATTATGTGCATTCCAAAAATGCATTACAGACAAAAGTACGAGTCAGTTGGTTATTACTACTTGAACTCTCTGTCACAGTTCTACTGGAAAAATTCGGACACAGAAGCACAGATGCCTGAGTACCGAAATATACAGCAGAGAATACAGGAGTATGGAGTGAAGGCGTCTGTAAGACGTCTCCAGCTTGATGTGCTCGGCAGACGACCTAAAAGACGATCTAGGCGATGTTGGCTTGACACGCTGTATGCGGAGTTAAAGATAGTTAGTGCCCATCCTGATAAGGCATTCGACCGGGAGAAAGGGCGCTACAAAATGGAAGAGCGGACCCCGCCATGGAAAGAGATAATGCTGAAGAATAAGAAGAAGAAGAAGCGAGACAGGGAGACTTCGTGGTAAACATTCACTTATCATACGTGAAAAGCCAGAGGAATGGTTGAGAGAAATGGATTCAGTTATCCAGGTCGATCAATACTCATGTGCACTACAGAGTGAAGGACGCACAGGGTAGTAGGACCAAACATTCAGTGAATTTCACCTGTTGAGAACGCGTTTACTTTCTGCGATCAGCGACGGAACGCGCGACCGGATGGCGCGACCACGTCTAATGGCGATTCCGCGATAGAGAGATCCAGCTGAGCGATGGATCGCGCGATCGCGAAGTCTGAACGCTTCCTACCATGGGAATGCTCTAATGTGATATGTTCAACTTGTTTAATTCGGTCTGCATAGATGGCTATTCATCTTTGACATACCCATAACGGCGACAGTCTTTTTTTTCATTCTGCTATTTTGCCACGCCTGGTTTTCCGCAAGACTAAGACTACGAGCCAAATGAGCACTATTTGAAGCTGTCTAAACAATTTGATAGTTGTTAGTTCTGCTCTGGTTGCCATATAAGGCACGATGATGCACGAATGAAGTGCTGGAGCTGCGAAGTACGAACGCTGCCCAACCTTTGGGACCTTTTCGTGTAGTAGTTCGTGGCCATCGGTTCTGCTTCCACACGGCTACTTTTTAGCTACAGTAACGCTGCGTTTGACTTCGCAATTACCCCCATCGGAGCGCGTTGATGCGAGTTCACGCAGCCACAGATAGAGATCTATCAGCACCTTTGGCTAGTGTTTTGTGAGAGTATAGGAGAACACAAAGGTGCCAGGCTGTGTGTTCAGGCGTTGTAAATAGCAATGCTGCTATTTTGCATGAGCTTTGCAGACCTTCCTACTTTACGACGCTTAGTCACACATCCCGGTATACTTCCGTTTTCGTACACTACCAGTACACCAGCTGTTAAAGGGTAGCTACCCGCGTCGATCGATAAATGTCAACGGCTTCATTGGCATGTATTGACTCTCGCCGACGCGCGTCATAGCGGTGTCTGAACGCGGTTCAGGCGACACGCAATCAGTCTACGTTCATCACCGCAAAGTATCAGTTGAGATATTAGCAACCTGCAGAGGATGCGAATTATGGGAAAATTCTGGACCATAAGAAATAAATGGGAGTTTTTGGTCCATGTTAATTCTAAATTCATAGACAGATCAGTCTATCAATGCAAAATCAGTGCGGTTTCTCAGTAGGATGTCTTATTCGCACATATATGTCACTTATTCAGACTAGTGAGTTGTGAACGAAGTGTTCAAAGCTATAAATGGGCAATTGCTTTCAGGTACTATTGGTGATGTAGAGTGTATCCTGCTAGCTCGACACGGTCGCAAGCATGACATCATGCCATCAGATGTGAACTTTCGAGCCAATTTATGGGGGATGCATTCTCTAGGTAAAGCTTTGTCTCACTTCCAATTTCATACCGGAGAGACGCTTTGATGAAATTACGCTAGGTTTATCTGAGCGTCATCAAACTTACTAAGTCCAGGTGCCGAAGATAAGAGTGCTGCGTTCATACTTTGCGTCAGCTTTTCGACGTTTGGAGCATACGGCAGCTTTTGAGCGCACGCCGGCGCACTACAGCGTTTTGAGCGACTATAGTAGTTACCGATCTAGCGTTTTGAAAGTTTTCGTAAGTCCTTCAGAACACTAGAGCGATATCTGTACCTTCCTGGTCCCTCGAAACGCTGCTGTACGCTCAAAATGCTGACGCAAAGTATGAACGCAGCCTGAGAGACATATAATGTCGACAAGGAGACAAGCTTTTGCATATTCCCGCTTTCAAACATTGATTTTGTCGTTCGTTACAATGGAGTTTTACTGAAATCATGTGTTACAGGAGCGTCTGTGATAATCGCAACTATTGCTTGCGGATCCCTCCAAGAAGACGTGAAACCTGGCGAACTCGTGTTTCCAGACTCCGTTTTTGACCGGTGACAAGTTCTTTTCAATCAATAGTAGCTGTCTTGGCTTTCATGACGGTAGTGCTTGAACTATAAGTTCCCAGAAAGCCAGTTACCCGAGTGGCTGCAGCCATTGTTTTGAATTTGAAGCATGTTAGCTTGTCATATCGTTGCCTTGTTCCTTGGTTACAAGACAACTACAACTCTTGGTAGGGTCGTGCCAAAGATCACAGCGCAAAGAAATAAAGTACTGCCGCTGCCAAGGTATATAGAGGTTGAAAATACATGTTACGAGCCAGGAGATGAGTATTTTTTAAGGGAGAGGACACGGCGGACCTTGTATGCGTTTTGCGGTAACTCTGACCTTTTACATTCCAATTTTTCACGCATAATGAATGAATGAACCGTTTATTATGCGTATATAGTTGGAATTTGAAAGGTCAGAGTGACCACAAAACACGTGCAGAAGTGAGAGTGCTGGGGAAAAAACCGAAAGTTGACGTTATTAAAGGGATTGAGTTTTAGTTGTCCGAAGGCCGAAAAGATCTCATCAATGAGACAATATTTTGAACATTGATTAGCCTACATATTCATGAATCGACGCCATCGCGCTATCGTGCTTGAGCTGCTGTGAGACAGCAGTGATCCTAATCGTTTCGTTTATAGCACTAACGGACGGAAAAGCACATTCTTTGATGGGACCAATCCAGACACACCTGGTGTATGCCATATACAGATGCATCCTACCTACAATGAGAAACTGAGAAAGGTATTGTTGGCTTTTTCGATGTAAACCCTCACGTAAGGCTGCGTTCATACTCAGCTACGGCTTTGAGCGTACCGCGTAGCGTAGCGTAACGCCATTGTCTGCCAGCGTTTTCACCAGGGGACATCATTCACTGGGGAATTCGCTCAAGTCCGTACGACCCCTGCTTTTAGTTTTAGGACGTTGGTACAACCCTCCCATGGTTCACTCCTCATCGGGCTGTCGAGCGGAGTAGGGGTATGTAGTACACACGAAACTTATACCAAGGGATGTTAAAAAGTTCCTTGACTCAGTCGCCGCTTCATCATTGAATTCCATCAGTTTTAGCTTCTCATGTCTACTGCTACCGATCTCAACCTCACATTTCATGACGGTGGTTTCGGCATCTGCATTGAAGGGCCCAGGTACTCCTCGAGAGCCGAAAGTAGGATCTTCCGATCGTGGGGAGCGAGCCTCATCAATATGACTATGATGCCCGAGGTATCCATTGTTTTAGTCGAAAAGTTCTCGACATCTTCCAGAGTGTTTCAGTGCGTCCTCGCAAAAGAACTTGGTATACCGTATGCCACAACTGCTTTGGTAACCGATTATGACTGCTGGAGAGAAGATGAGCAGGTGAAATTGCAATAAATATCCGCTCGAAACAGTTGGTGCGCAGTGATGCAACGTTTCATTTAGAGAAACGGCCAACTGAAACCAGCTTAATCACTCGCTGCAAATCAGTTCTCGAATACTTTAGGTGTCTATGGAATTGGTCATGAAAACATTCAAGGAGAACGCTTATAAAGCAAAAAGTTTATTCATCGAGGCAGTGAAACGAATCGCTGAAGAGGACTGGGAAAACGAAATTGCTGTTCTAAAGGTATCATTGTGTAACTCAAAGGATAGTCTTCGCCGTTAATCAACCCCTTTGTGGGATGCGGCACGCATTCTACTTCCATTCACACGTAGTTATCGAATGCGATGTGGCCTATATCTGTGATCTGCGGTGGCTAGCGGGCCGTGCGCGTGGCAAGGGTACCATTTGCCACGACAACACCTCCGCCTCACTCTGTCAGCTGATTGGGCGCCGAGCATCGCTGCAAGTTCCCCGGTAGTGGCGTACGGATCCTCTTCCACGGTGGATTGCAGCAACTTAAGTCTAAAACTCCAATCGGCGGCCGGACTTGGACATCTTGAAAGAAAAATCTCCTTTCTTAACTTTGCCTCCAGTCTTGCACTGTCCTAGAGAGGGGGAATTTTAAAAAGCGCACCCATATTTATCTCCACTATCTTGGCTACAATAACGATTTGCGAGCTAGGGCGCCAAGTAGGCTCACACAAAGAATTTAGCGTGCAGTTGAATGCATTGCGAAAGAGTCGGACTGCGGCAACACACCATATTCGACGCGCTCTACTGGAAACAAACACAGTTTATCGAAAACAGGCCGGATTTTGATCAATATTATTTTCCACGTGGGCAGATTGCGCTGAGGTTGGATTATAGACTACTCCTGAACACGAACATCACCCCCACCCACTTGGCCTGACCTACGGGTATTTCTGACGTGCCAGCGGCCAAAAATTCCAGGGCACTTAAATCCGCTGAAACTTGCATAAGGAAGAGCATTTAAAATTTATTGCATACATGGGGGGCATAAAAAAATAAGACTTTTTTCGTTTCTCGACTTTCGACGGCGCTTATAACTACCTTTATTAAAATTCTATCGGACACTTCTACCACTATATTAAAGAGCATATTAAATACTTATCATGATACTCCCCACCATGCCTTCTGGAAGGAGCGCCTCGAGAGATTTGCCACTGCGACGTCATGTGGTGCTGTGCGTGAGTTCAGCGAGACTCGTTGATTTCTCCTGTACTAGTAGACCACCCATTGAACTCGCCCGAGCCATGTAATTTGATGCCGTTTAGTCCAGCGTTACCTGCTTAGACTATTCACCTCCTCAGGTATCAGCCCTTTCTTTCCAAGTAGGGCGAGAGTTTCTCCAACTCCCTTCCATTCCACGTGGATGGCATCCAAATGCTGTAGCAGATACAATTTCCAGCAAGTAAGGACCGCGAATTTAGAGATTATTCTCTTCAGTTGCTCGATTGTACCCACGCTCACCTTTGTCTGGGCCCATCAAGAAAATATCCGGCTTCCCATGCCCAGTACGTTCCGGTCCTCCATCACTGGCGCCTTATGCGACTGGATGAAGATGATTTCTGGACCGTACGACGTTGGAGCCTGCTTGATGTTAGGGATCTGCCAGATCATAGTACTATCTCTAGGTTAGCTATCATGGGTTGGACTCCATACAAAACAAAGTTTCGAGCTGTTCTGACTGACATGAATCGAAGGTCTTCTCATCGGGTATGCCGCTGGAGATGACTTCATATTTCTAGGTGTATCATAAGGGAATGCATGCGAGCGCCAGCTCTGCTTATAGCAGCGAACATCTTGGGTATCTTCCCCGCCCTGGTACTCGTATCCCCCGTTCTCGTCTGCGGCTGCGAACTGGCTGATATAGTGACTCGTTAAAAGTCTTTTTTTGGCCCCCCTTATATCACATTAATTGCGCGCTGCGCTGAGGAAGACGCTGCGATTGTCTGCACTCTGGTATGCTTGGGGCTGACCTCGAAGGAAAACACTTTTTCTCAGAGCTCAAGCCTAGAAAGTGTTAAATGACGCTGGGATGAACTGTCCCAATATCACACGAATTTTGGTCGGGAAAGGAGGGACCAACTGGCGCCAATTGGCGCCAGCGCCCAAAAAGTGCTTATTCGGCGTGACTTTGGGAATCTACTTATCTCTGTGCGCGAAGTTTCAACAAAAGAAAATTTTGCCTGTTGGGTAGTCAGTAGAGTATGAAACAGTGCCATTTTATGGTTTTCGCCGTTCCAGCAGACAATAGCTCTGAGCTAGCTTCAAATTCCCGCATTCAAACTTCTTCGTTACAAAGGACGATTGGGCCTCATTTACCAGGTAAATATTTAGACTACAACACAGGAAAAACAATATTATGGAAAACCTCAGTTTCAAAACGTCAGAACACGGAAAACTTGCCTTCCTTCTCTCAGCTTAAATGCAGATTTCATTTTTTTGATCAGAAAAAAGGTCTGCTTTTTCCCAACACTAGGTTTAGTTCGACTTCCTGCAGTTGCATTATACCCTGAAAATAGTTCCACGCCTTCTGTACAGCAGCTTGAAAGCATATGTGGCAACATCGGCTACGACCGCTATTTTCAGGGATAGCGCGCGTCAAATATGCGTCGATGCGTGGTCGACTATACTGCAATGCAATAAACCTCACGCCCTAAATTCTTTGATAGGCACTTGCGACCCTATGAATAATCGCTTATTTTATCTTGCTTCGGCTTCCTTTGGTTTAAGCCAGACTGATGAAAGGAAAAAGAAGACAGTGCTTCAGGTGCGATCCTGTCGCGCGTGAAATGGGCGGCATTTTGGAATAAATGCCAAGCTGGGTTGAGCTGTGAGGTAGTGCGATGATGAAAGACTGTTTGCGGTAGCTTCATGCACACCACGATAGTCATAAACATCATGCAAGTCATATGGCTGCCATCAACCACGTGGCGGAACTTTGGGCGGTCATCCTAATAAATGATAAGCGTGCTGCTGCAAAGTCGAGTTTCTTTTTAGAAAAGTGGGTAGTGGGAAGGGTATATTTGCGACGGCCAAGACAATCACCTCGCGCCTCACTGTAGTAGTTTGTCGTGTGAGAAGACCAGGCTATTTCGTCCATTTGCTCTACAAAAATTGTTTTCACTGCTTAAGTGATTATATTAGACCGGAAGTTTCCGCCCATTGGAATTGTTTGAGGAATGTCCAACGGCCAAGCTTTGCGACTTACCAATCTTTCTACAGGCAGATTCAACAGACTCATTGGCATAGCGAGCTCGCCTGCATGTTCCCTGCGTAGTCGACGTACGGAATGCCTCATTCACGGTGGATTTGCAGCAACTCAAGTTTAACTCATCCGTCCGCGCCGGAATTATAGGCATCTTGGCGCAGTAAAAATCTCTTACGTTCTCTGAACTTGCCATCCAGAGCTCTTTGCAGCGTGTCGTAAGAGATAGCGCGCGCCATATGCTATCCACTATCTTGGCTCGAGGTCTTCCTTTGCGTTTAAGCCAGACTGATGAAGAAAAGAAGACAGTGCTCAGGTGCGATCCCTGATCGGGTGAAACTTGGGCGACATTTTGAATAGATGCAAGCCTGGAGGTGAGATGTGAGGTAGTGATGAGTGAATTCAAGAGTGATTTGCGGTGCTTCATGCACACCACGATAAGTCATAAAACTACATGCAAGGCAATATAGGTGCGCGATCACACACGTGGCGGAACTTTCGCGTCATCGTAAAAATATGATAGCGCTGCTGCTCGCAAAGTCGAGTTTCTTTTTTAGAAGCTGCTGGGTAGTGGGAAGGGTATATTTGCGACGGCCAAGACAATCACCTCGCGCCTCACTGTGTAGTTTAGTTGTGAGAAGCCAGGCTTTTCGTCCATTTGCTACTACAAAAATTGGTTTTCACATGCTTAAGTGATTATATTAGACGCGGAAGTTCCCGCCATTGAATTGTGAGGAATCCAACGGCCAAGCTTTGCGACTTTACATCTTTTCTACAGCCAGATTCAACAGCTGATTGGCATGATAGCGAAGCATCGCTGCCTGTTCCTGTAGTGGCGGTACGCGAATCCCTCCACGGTGGAATTGCAGCAACTTCAAGTTTTAACTCATCGGCCGGCCCGGAATTTAGAGCTATCTGGCGAGAAAAGATCTCTTACGTCTTGAACTTGCCATCCAGGTCTGCACGTGTCGTAAGAGATAGCGGCGCATATGTATCCACTATCTGGTCGGCTTCCTGTTGCGTTTAAGGCAGAACTGATGAAGGAAAGAGAAGACAGTGCTTCGGTGCTCATCTGTCGGGGAAACTTGGGAGGCATTTTTGGAATAATGCAAGCTGGGTGAGTGTGAGGTAGTGATGGTGAAAGAGTGTCTTGCGGTGCTTCAATGCACACCCCACGATAAGTCATAAACTCAGCAAGGTCTATATAGTGCGATCACCACGTGCGGAAACTTTGCGCGGTCATCGTAATAAATGATAAGGCGTGCTGCGGCAAGTCGTAGTTTCTTTTTTAGAAGCTGCTCGTGATGCTGTTATGGTTGGACGTCAAGAAGTGACTATTCCTCACCTTGTCGTCTGAAGTTCTATTACTCCTAACAACGTCCCTAAGCATGCTTGTTACAATTAGGAATGATTATGCTTTTTCTAAGCATTTGTTACCTCAAAGTTGAACTCGAGAGATTGTTACTGTTTCATTATGTATTTGTACGCGTATGTGTATTATGTACATAAAAGCTCATCTTCTGTAGTTTCGTGCAGAAATGAATACACACTTTATATCCCGGAGTCGGGAAGGGCGCGGCCGCGCATTCCGTTTGAACCTGGCATAAGATGCGTTTTTTCAGGAGATAATTTCATCTGAAGCATCTGCCATCCTGTCTTGTCCTGGACAGGGGCACGACCACAGATGTGCAAAGAAAATATCTCATCATGAGCGCAGCGGCTGAAGTATGTGGCCACACCCTCCCTACCTACAGGACGTGGAAAGTACAGGAGAGCGGAAACCTGATGGCTTGGAGCAATCGAGTTAATTTGCAAAAGGACAGTTGAAATAATGATTTCATAAGTGAACACGTGGCGAAGAAATCAGCAATAGGGCTATTTTTCTCATGGGCATTCAAAACTCAAATTTTATCATCATATGTAGGAAGAATGGCCACAGACAATCTGGTCGACTCGGTACGCAAAAAGATCACTGTTTATTTGGGTAGACGTGTCGATCAAAGCGTTCTTCATCACTGTATCCACATATATCTGAGATATACATTTATTTATTATTATTTGTTATACATTATTGATCCATTATTCATTACACATTGTTGTTAAGGTGTCATTATTTATGTGTTGCATTTATGGAAATTTTGAATGGAACATTTTACACATCGGCAAAAAGGGAAATGGAAACTATAGAACCACAGAGCTTCGTTACAATAATATTTACGAAATCTGTTCTCCAGAATAAGCGTAAAGGATAAAGTCTTCGCCTCTGATCAATGTCCTTTTCTTGATGCGGCAAACGTCTTACTTTTATTCAAAATCGTGTAGTGTTTTATTGAATGAATGAATGTGCCTATTAACGACTTGCAGAGTCCAGCCGATGTGCAGGTCACTGTTCTTATCCTCCCGGACGAGTCTGCTACCAATTCACGCCCAAAAGCTTGGTTGACCTGGGCAGGAGCCGAGCGGACATGGACCCTCGGACCGTGCGCGTGGCGAGCGTGTTATTTACCGCTACACCTATTCCGCAAAAAATGTCTTAAGAACAAGCATATCAAAAAATATAGTCGCGAAATATGAAGCGGAAAATTTGCCGAATGAAAGATGTGTGTCCCATCACGCCATCGCAAGTCCGTCCGAAAAAGTCGGAAGACTTCCAAGGTACCTCTTTTCAAGGCAGCAAAACACATCATTCTCGCTGTCGGGTTCACGGCTCCCATTTAAAATGGTAACAGCATTTAAATGGGTGTACACACCACGAACTGTGGAGCCAGCGGATGTGCGTTCAGTCGTACAAAGACAGTTTGGCAGCCAATAGCTCCGCCACAGTTCAACTTACACACGCGGTTGACAAACAAGTATGTTAGCCTCTTCCAACATTTTGCTGACTAGGAAAGTTCGTCATGTCGAAGTGGCCATTTGTAATGAGATGTAGCTCACTAAACGTAGTTTTGGACGCTGATCTCGAGTCTGCCTTCGAAATTTGCAGAACGATTCTATGAACGGAATTATGAAGGTTTGTTAGAATTAAAATGCAAGAAAACAGGGCCGAGCGCGGTTGCCAGCCAATTCGCATAAGTAGCCGGGAAGCACGATTTCGTTCAACGGTGGCATGGTGTAGTGGTAATGGTCTTGCTTCGCCGGCATGCTATGAAGGGCTTGGATTCCTGGAAGGGAAGTTGTTTTGCATTTTGTGGGGAATGTCTCTTTTAAGTCTGGAAAGCACTCAAACGCCAAGTGGGTGTTGTATTCGTGTTTCAGGGAGCAAAAGTACCCCTGAGGATAGTTTCTAACCAGATGTAAGGCTTTGACCTAACTATGAAAAGTGCGGTAGTTGATCGATTGATGGTCACCAATAGTTCCAGGCCAGTCTCTTGTCAGATTGTTTGTTTTTGGACGGAAGTTGCTTTTAGATACCAGGAAAACTGGAGCAGTAACACTGAATGCGTAAGAAATCGGCAACACAAGGCTTTGTGGCAGGAGAATGTATCTGCAGTGGAATAGGTGTGAACATCGAATGAACTAACGCATGGATGCTTCACTTGTGGAAGTGAGGTGAAAACACCAGCCAAGATTGGGCTAGAAAACCTCCACCTAGGCGTAGTTCGCCCGAATAAACAAGAAATATGGCACTCGCTCAGCGCGAAAACGCATGACACGCGCCCATGCACCTGTACATCCAAAAATTCTCCCAAGAGGCAATAGGCACATAAGGCACTAAGCGCGCCAGTAAGCGAACACAGACTGTTTTTCAGACAAGCCAAGGAGAGCGCTAATGTAGCAGTGACGCCACAACCACTTTTTGCCGCGTTTGCACAAAAGCAAAAATGTTAAGCCCAGCAGGGATCCGATCCCACGAACTGTTGCATGGTAAACGCGTTACAAAAAGCTCCATAACTCCGTTCATAGAATCGTTCTGCAAATTTCGAAGGCAGATTCGAGATCAGCGTCCAAAACCACGTCTAGTGAGCTACATCTCATTACGAATGGCCACTTCGAACTGACGACCTTCCCTAGTGAGAACGAGCATCTTGGAAAGAGGGCATACAAAGACTCTTCTCTTAAGACAAGCCATCTGCAACGCCAATCCCAATTATCCCAAGAACCGTTCATCCCTTCTCCACATCTCAGCTGAATAGAACAGGGTAGCCGTGAAATAGATGAAAAAAGCCTGGTCTTTTTGGGAAAGCTACTCTAATTGAAGTTATACTTCTACGATCTTATTATGAAACATATGGGTGGATGAAATCGTAGTTATACTATGTATTACCTGGTATATAGAGCGTATGAGCTCAGGGATGCCAACAGCTGAGGGATCAGTGTTCATAACCATTTTCAATCCAGTGGGAGTTTCCATGTAATTCATCCTATATGATGACGTTTTGAAATAACGAACGAGCTGATGCCTAAAGCAAATATTATTTAGTAAACATAGGGTCTCATGCTTAGGCCCTTCCTTCTTTCTCGAGCCTAGAGTAAAAAAACTTCAAGGCGAACCGATTTGTGCGAAGTGGTTTGAAAATAAAATTCTTAATGAATCATGACCTTACAGAAATTTGCAAGAGCGCCCCTTTCTCCCATGCCGAAGCACGTCTCTCAACACATTTCGAGTATGACAACTCGAGCTTCTCGCATCGCAGCACAATGATCAGATTTCTCCGGAACAGAAGAAGGTAGCTAGTTTTCAATTTGCACTCCCATCGTCACCGAATTCAGACTAGCTGAATGTTGAGTGCGCAAGGTATGAGACTTGGCAAAGTGCCAGAGTGCCGCGCGGACACGCGCTGGATGGACGATGCAGACACAGATGCGACCGTTTGTGAAGGAGAATGTGGAACCTGGTTGAGGTGAAAGTTCACAGTCTCGCCGTTAATCAATCTCTTTATGTGTTGCGGATTGCAGTCTACCTCGGTTCAGAATCATCCTCCTTCCTTGTTGAGTGCAATGAGGGCCTATACAATGACTTGCGGGGAAAGCCGAGCCGATGCACAAGTGAGTGTTTCTATCCTCCAGAAGAATCTGGTACCAAGCTACCGTCCCCGGAGGGTAGAAGGCTTGGTCGGCTGGGTAAGCGCTGATCTAAGATTTTATCCCCTGCGCGTGGTAAGCGTGCTACCACACCACCTCCACCTCTGGTGGAGAACAGAAATTAATGTATACAAAAAGTGGAAATTTGCAGTAGCTGCTCGCTGTGTTGCAGCAAGTCAGGACAAAGCGACAAAGCTAACCCCACACTACGAAAACAAAGCAAAGAAAGTATAATAAAAGCATAACATATAACGTATAACGCAAAATGAAGCACTAACGCATAGAATGTGCACTAAACGAACTGCTTGAAAACATCAATAACGCACCCATCTTTACTGGAGAGTCGCTCTGAGAATGACCGAAGCGACACTAGCATACCGAACATGAGTTTGAACTCCTACAAAGCTGAATTAGGATAGTTCTTTGTCACTGCATTGAAAAGCGTTCGTAAAACCACCCAACTAGTGAAGAAATATCAACGGAGTTCAAACTAACCTCGCTCTTAGCCATTCCTGATTGCTTATCTCTTCTCCATTCTTTATAGAAGATACAAGTCCCATCACGATTGAATAAATAAAAGTTATAAATAGTCATGCAATAAACCCTGCTTGAAAACGGTGCTGCGTAAAAACACCTTGGGCGAGCAAGTGTAATTGCGTACAGCGGGTGGTAACCGTATTTGACGCCAAATTGTGTTCAATGATCCTCTTCCGTTTTGAAGATTAAGGCATTGTTCACACTCCGCGGTCCACGTTTCTCTGAAACGCGGCGGTTCGGCGAAAAGCTTTCGATACATATCAACTGGCGGTTGGGCGGAGAGCCTGGCGGTTGGGCGAAAGGGTTTTGGTACGTATCGACGGGCGTTTCGCCAAACCGCGACGTTTTTCGCCTTCGACAAAACGCTAGCTCCATCGCGGTGGCGTTTTTCGCCAGCGAAATCGATACACATCTACTGCTTTTCGCCCAACCGCCCAACCGCGGCGGTTGGGCGGTTGGACGGTTGGGCGATTCTCCGATCGATGACTGTTCCTTGCTTTTCTCCCAACCGCCGTTTCGTCAGGGCCTGGCGACTGTGAACAATGGGTAAGGCGGGTGGGGGATGGGGGCAGAAGTATCCAGTAATTACTGTAGAAAACAACTGGCATACTAAATAGCAGGAATGGTACCCGGTTGCAGAATGAAAAAAATAGACTCGACTCTAAGGGACTCAGATTTCTGCATCTAATACTTGCTCGCTCTTTGGTCTTCGAGGCAAAGGGCACGATCCCCTAGGCATGTAAGGTGAACAAATCAGAGAAATCCGCGACCATGAGAAGCCTTTACAGACGACTTTTCTTCCGACGGTCTCTAAGCATCCTAGCAAGGCTTAACATACCAATTCGTACTCCCTCCAACAACGACACCATCAATTCCGTGCTACAAAAGGCCGTACCGATTATTGATCATCATCGGATCAACTATTGGCTTTTGAATGACGCTTTTCCCTCTTCAGAATTCTTCCCGAAGGAGTCGCTTCAAACTGGTGACAAAAACATCTTTCTCCTGCTAAATGCAACGTTTTCTTACAAGTAGTGCCCGTCTTGGAGTTTCACACTTGTTTTGCTTTGATTGAGGGTAATTCAGTACCGACACCTGTCGCGCAGTGCCGAGCGATGTGATATTCATGTTCAGGAGGTTGGACTACTCGCGACAACAAACTTTCGGCCGAATCTGTTGCGGTAGAGAAAAGTTGGTAGAAAAAAGGCTTGATGAAAAGGGTTGTAGTAGCTGAACAGTGCCGAGGTCCATGTTATATTTAGGAAATATAGTTCAGTGTGTTGAAAGAAACCATTCTGATTAATGTTAATGAAGCAATAACATGGTGCGTGGGCTTGCCCGTCAGTCCGTACACCACTTACCCAGGATGGAGCAGGTGTGGCAGCGTACCTCATTTGAGTACTGCGCAGGATGTGTTCCTCGTGGAATAGTTGCCATTTGAGAGAGCTTTGAGACATGTTTTGCTCAACCAGTGCTGCTATCCTTTTAGCAACTACTGAATGGTGGCTCAGTAACGCATAATGTGATACACCACTTGGTGTCACAGGAGGGAAGGAGCTGAAACTTCAGACGCAAGGAAATTATTCGACCGCTAAATCAACGGCACCTTGAAGCAGTGGTGTAAATACATAAATTGCAATATAGGCCGATGGAATGTTTCGAGTCAAAGCAGATGTTATTCGCTGTCGACAGCGTCTTATATGCAGAACCTATGAATATCCTAACCCACGGGACTGTCCTTCTTTCTGTGACAATTTCGCAATAACGTTCAAAGCCAGTAGGATTTGAAAACTACCGGAAGAAGGAAAGCTTAGGCCAACATAAGAAAAAACCCCCCTCTCTGTTCTAGAATCTTACTTGATTCTTTGAACAAGCTGGGAATGGTGCTGCGTCGGAGATGTGGGTTTTCCGCGTCTCTGAAACTTGTCCCAACAAAATAAAAACGGAGATTTTTTTTCTGGCTAGAGGGGGTGTAGGGACCCCGACAATATTTTCCGTTTCCGCAAGGAAACGCGTTGGCGACACTAAAATTCAACAACGACGTCAAGCCGTGGAAATATCTTTGAAAAGGAGACATTCCAGACGCCCGCGATCAGCTTTCGCAGGTTGTAGGGCTCAGGAATGTTAGAACATCTGATGAGTGAAGTACTACTCGAGAGAAAAGCAAAAGGAAATGTCAGAAGGACACAGGATAGGACCCCACTTGATTGAACGCATTTGGACGATGTTTGCAAATTCTAGACGACATCTCCGAGACCTATTGTCGCCTCGTTGGGGCTAATTCGATCAATCATATATTGGTATCTAGCCACAAAAGTACGGTATTGTGTCCTCGTGGTTCATAACAACACTGTCCGAAAGCCTGAATGGTTGCGGTAAAATTTTATTGCTGTTCTTTACCACACGATAAGCTCCATTACGGGCATTTATTCAACATTAATAACGGTATGAATCTCGCAATAATTATGAAGAAGTCAACTAATGTTACGTTTTTAGTGCGATCCATATTATCGAGCCATCTGAAAGATCAGAGATAAGCTGGACGAAAAGCGGCCTCTCTAATTAAGAGTATAGTACCATGGGGACTGTTTTCCACCCCGCCGTCGATGCAGCTCAGCGGAACCAGTTGCCGTTCCGCTTGACTCAGTTGAAGGCGTGAGAACTTTCTTGAGCTTTCCACCTTTTGCATCCTTTGTTAACCGCTCCAGACTTTCTCGCTGGAAGAAGAAAAACCGTTGCATGAGAGTCACTTTTTGGGATGACGATGATTCATTAGAGTACTAAGTCAGTTGGAGATGAAAGGGTCCAGCGTCAGTATTTATGGAAGCATTTTTTTCGTTATACGAAAAGTAGACGCTAAGGGTGAGTAAGCTCGATTTGTGGACTCGGGATCAGGGCGCTGAGGATCTTGGTCGAGTCCGTACGGCCCCCTCCTAAAAGGAGCCTTAATCCTTTTTCACAGCTTGTTCTTTTTCTGCCTTTTTATTTGCTTCTTTCCGAAACATAGGTCGGAGGAAACATACGTGGGAAAAAAACCAATGCTAAGCTGGTGGTTTCCCCTGGCTTCCTAGCGCCTTCAATACTGAACGCCATCCAGCACAGGAAGCTGTGTACGAATAAATCTCGAAACACTTAGCAGCAGCGTCAAGCGTACAGTCGTCATCCTTTCACTTGATAGTCAATGTCAGTGCGGCTGCGTGCGGCGCAGTCGCCCGCACCCGTACTGCACCAATCGTTGAACCAGGAAGTGACATTAGTGTATTATATCCTTCGTGTTAGCTCGTTTTCTATTAACTTTTTGTCGGCTATACGCGTTTCAACGAAAAAGGCTGAGAAGACTTCAAAGCATGTGCACGCTCCTTTCTCGCCAATCAGACCCGCTATCAAGTGCAGGCATGAGCGCTGTACGTCGCGGGATCCGCGCCTCTCTTCTGAGGGGATGGTATTTGTGATCAGAACCCAACAAAGCAGGGACATACCTTGCAGGATGAGTGATGCGTTCGGAAAGGAAGTCGAGTACATGGCGCACTCCATGGAGGTGTTGAACAGCGTCTCTTTGCTGCAGTTCCTATTCACTACATGGCTGGGAGGAGTACGTAAGCCTACCGAGCTTTCTAGATGGAAATGTGGGCTTTGTATGTGGGAGATCTTCATGCTGCAGCTTAAAGACACATGGTACGATCACACATAGTTTAGGTGCGCGTGACTAACAGCCCCCCCCCCCTGTCGAAGCGTAGCGGTTTCCCCGTCCGAACATGCGCAGGAATGGAGATACAGGACGGTGAAACACGCTCATTCCTCCATGCTCCGCCCAATACTTTTTGCGGTGCAGACCCCGTTCATGCTAACATCCGTCGTAAGCGCGCGTGTCGCGTGCGGCACTCTCGGCACTTTGCCAAGTCCTGCTATTGCGCTTCGGAATACAAGTAAAACGAGATTTCCTGATGCGGGTAACATTTTAGGTGCTGCAAAATAAGAACAGAAGATGATGACGAAGGGCAGAACCCAAAAGCAATTGTGCTGCTTTTGCAACATGCCTCGGAGGCCGCGCATTCCCCCAAAACGTGAAAATAGACGCAATGACAAAATGAAATGAAAATGACAGAAACTCGCTTTTCAATTGAAGATTAAAACCCTCGTCGTACGTAAGAACAATCCGACCTTTGCTGTGTCCTAGCCGTTCCCCCTTACTTTATCCTACATTTTGATTTCTCCGAATTCGTAGAAGAGTGGTTAGTAGTGCAAGGTACTCACTGAATGTTTCTCTTTCGACATGGGCCCTTCTGCCGAGCTAGTTTTAGGAGCATTCTCCTAAATTCATATGAATAACTCTATAAATTTTGAAAATGATATTCCAAATTACATAATATTGCGATACAGAAAAAATGAGATCGGATGACCAACTGCAGAACGTGACGTTGAAGCTCCCTTCGCTGCTGGATCGAACGAATCTTGTGATTGTGACTGAAAACGAAACTTGATATGTTTCGTCATCCATACAGTCCCACAATTTTCGGATTCCTCAGGGATACGTTAGGATTTGATCTCATCGACGATGAGCTTACAAGCAAGACACTTCTTCAGAAGGATTGATTGCATGTTGCCCATTCATTGACTACACCATTTTCCGTGCGTGCTTCGCAGAGCGTCAGACAAAAATTTTGACATCTGAACTGGCGGGGGTACCTTTCTGCAGTAAAATTTACTATTTTCATAATTTTTGTTGTTCATTATCTTTGTTTTAGCATATGATGAGCCTATGGACCAGGAGAAAGCGCTTTATGAAACGTCTGAATGCATTGCAGAAATGTATTAGGTTGTTGCATATGTTTTTTCCTCTCTGTTTCGATCTTTCCGTATTTCATTTGCATGGATGTTGTATTTCGTCATCACATGTGCGTGACATGCACATAGTGCTCCTTCACCACACTGGCTATCACTCACCCACCCTGCATTTGCAGTCTCCAATGCACCACAATTACCAGTGTAAAAACCATTGTCACAAGTGGCGATTGGTACGGCATTGTGCTTCAGGTCCCAGCCCCCGTACGTTCTGGGAGGGAAGGAATCGACAAGCTGCCTGAGCGTTGGCTTCGAGTAGTGGATGGTGATGGTGCATACCTCTAATCTTCAGGCTGGTTCGCTATTGAGATATTTTACGAAAAAGTCGGGGAAAAAACTTATGCAACAATGCTAATATGTCAAATTGTGGGCCATTGTCTTCCCACAGAGAGTGTTCCAAAGATAAAACCTTGGAGCTTCAAAAGCTATGAAGATGTGTAAACCCAGCGTATACTTGGATCTCTTTGTTCGTTTCAAATGCACGTCAAAGTCGTGCGTTCGTGCCAAATTCGTCTATCCAGGGTTCTTAACATGCTTAGAGCTTACGGCTTAGTTCCCGTATCGGTGATTACAGTGGACTTCCGCTGATTTTTTTTTGTGTAGTTGGTGTAACGCGGGGCCTGCTTTGTATTGCTTGTGTTGTTATTTTCACCAGATTTAATTATTTTGAATCATACTGAAGGCAGAGCTCACGATCACTTGTAATTAGTGCTGCGACAATCTTGTAAAGGTTCCCGTCAGGAAAAGGTATGGTAGCGGCGACTGAGGCACAAGGTTGGTCAAGTGACTCCGCCCACGTTGATAGAAGTCTTCTCTGCTGTAATGCATCTTGCATGCTTTCTCGCTACTTTCTCTGGCCCCTCTCCCGATATCTCGTTGATTTCCTCTCTCCGCATGACACAATTAGGGTCTAATTAAAGGCGTTTTCGAATTTGTCCCTACTTTTCTTTACGAGCTCAACTAGCACACCACTCGCGTTCCTCAATCCGCTACCATACGAAGTGTTCGCTGGTCTCTCGCAAATGCTCCCTTCAAGAGAGGCGCTTGCCGGTAGCAGTGTCAAAACTTGAGATTTGAGGTTTCAATACAGCAGGAGTTGCGTAATGCCAACAACCGCTATGAGTAATCGGAAGACACCTCTGCGTAGCCCGAGTCCGAGTTATATCTGTTTGCACACACATAAGAACGCACAAGAAAATGAAAGACCCCATTTTATACGGTAGCAATCAATAAACGACACTTTCACTGTTAAATGGAAGTTCATTACCTGCGTAATGCCGTTAGTCGCTAAAGAAGCTTGTATGTATGCCCTTTTGACGAACGATATTGAGATGCCATTCATCACTAATTTATATTCGCATGTCTTTTGATGTGCTCTTAACGGGAATGGACTTTAATGAAAGTGGTCGATGCGCAAAAGAACGCAAAGCGACAGCGTCCTAAGAAATGTCCTCCTTACTTCACTCTTTCACCTTTTCTGGCCTTCCTAGCGGGTCGAGGAGAATAATGTACCCTGTAGGTGCAAGTAACCGTTCGGAAATTCTTATTACCACAACACTCCTATATCAAATCTTCAGCTGACCCCAGCTACTGCAAGGGGCACTATGAATTTCGTGATACCTGTGGATGCACACACGTAGCATATCATCATGCAAGGGGATACGGAAACAGTGCAACAAGAACGCATCGTTGTTGGGGTTCCCACACAGGGGTGTCGTATTTTGGTCGCTGGAGAGGGGGGGGCGTATCGAGGCTGGAAAGATTTCGTTTGATTGTTGATTTCACTTGTTTCAGGGACGTTGTAAACGGCGGGGTGGTCGTGCTGCTCGTCGTTGGAAGGAGAGGCTAGGGAGGTTGCTGGCTTTTTGCGTGGGTTTTTCCTGTCATGTGTGCTATACACAGCCCTTCCCCCCCCCTCCCGCTTGACATCAAAAATTTTTGAGTAAATGGGGGAATTTCCGGGAAATTCCGGAAATTTGGAAGGAATTGGGAAAATCCAAGAAATGGTAAAGTAAGGGTTGCATTGTATTTTCCTCACGGTTTCTTCCATTTCACATATGCTATCTTCCCCTCCGCTCGACAGCTCGATGAGGAGGGAACTAGGGGGTCGTACCACCGAAAAGAAAGGGGGGTCTAACAGACTCGACCAAAACCCTCACTAATGATAAATCCCCAACTATTGCCCTAGTGCAACGTTGCTCGCTTTACCATTAATTAGCAGCAACAGGCTTTTCCCAGTAGAGCGGTGGATGAGTCAGATTTTCTTGTACTGGGTGGGATCTTTTCGAAGGGTTCGTGACGTGGTTTTGAAACAACTGCTGTAGACGGGGCACTTGGTTGGGTAGGTCCTAAAACCAAAAATTGAAACGTGTTCTGTCCGGGCCTCTGAAAGCGACTATTCTTTCGAAATGTTAGGCCACTTATCGTAAGCGAATATTTCTTGTGAAAACCTTGGAAGGCGCACACAACTAACAGCTTACATGCCGAAGTTGGAAGAAGATGAAGTCTGGAGTATGCTCACCATTAGCTTTTCTATCTGGGTTCCAATCAAAACCAGTGAGTTTAGGTTCTTATCAAATTGTAGATTTTCCAGCATTGCCGAGCCCTCCCGATCGAGTTCATGTTTCTGAAAGGCAAAGTAAATGTGAAGGAGTTGTCTAGTAAAATATGCTGGGCGTTGGATACGATCTTAATTCCAGCAAATTTGGTAGTCATCTCTAGTCTTTCCACCACTCACACTTTTTATACTCGACATTCATGACTGTGACTCTCTCGCTCTTCGTTTTCCCATAACTACATCGTACATTGCAGTCTATGAAGTTACATGGAAAATGAGAAGCTTCAAAGTGCTCTGAGTGATCAACAACCAACACCCTACAAGAAGCATGCGCCAGTGCGACGTTGCATTTCGAAGGTCCTCGCACTATCCTTGAATGAGCACGAACGTCCAAAACTCAAGTTTCCGACTTTATGTAATTTCTCTTTGTCTCTTTTTGTCTTGCTTTGTTTTTTGGGGGAAGGGTGGTCTTTGGTGGGATTGTATTGAGACCCGGTTCCGAGAAGGTTCGTACTGAGCAGAAATTTCACATCACGCGATGGCGTATCCTGGTCCATAGTGGTTGCAGCTCGTGCTGCAGCGGCTGACTGAGATCAGCGTAGGCCAGGATCGTGCCACTATAGGTAGTAGAATAGTTAGGAATTAGTAAAATTGCCTTGAGAATTAAAGGAGCGTTTAGCGAGCGTGTTTCCTTTGTGTCTTGTTCCCCAGGCTCTAAGAAAGGCGAAATCGCCCAGACGAGATACCAATAAAAGCCCTCCAGTCATGTGAAGGAGTGGAGAATTCCGCAATATTTTTAAGCGAATCAGTTCCATTCTTTGTCGAGCCATTATTCGTCATGCCAAACTGTCACTTATTCACTTCTCACTCACATTCAAC